ACTCACCAATATTACATTTGAACAAATATATTAGACGGCTATGATCCATTATCGATTCTCTGGTTTATTAGTGCAGTTGTTTTTTTTATCACGAGAAATGACGTTCTTTGGTTGGAGTAGTATATTCGTAGTTTAATACTATCGTTTTCGCTGGTTGCTTGGACGTTATTTTTTATGATTCTTTTCAGGATTTTTTCTTCCTGTTCGAAAGCGGTTGACATAATTTAAATGAAAAATTAAATATATATATATATAAATGAATATATATATATATATATTTAATTTCTTTATTGCGTATAAAGAAGATGAAAGAATTTTAAAAGGAATAATACGCAGAAACGTAGTAGCGTCAAATCCAATTAATAAAGTTGTTCTTCGAATTTACTATCAAAATTTAAAAAACATCCCAACTAATCATGAAAAATAATTGCCTGCCTGCAACTACTCAACTACAACAAAGTCATCTAATATATGAATATAAATGCTCCGTCGGTGAATGTTCGCACCGCAACAATGCTTCATATATTGGAATGACAACTACCACATTGTCAAGACGTTTGACCATGCATCTACAAGATGGAGCAATTAAACAACATTATCAACAACAGCATAACATCACTTTAACACGACAAATGTTAAATAACACACAAATAGTTTATTGTAATAACAACATCACAAACCTGAAAATAGCTGAATCAATTTTCATACAAAGCAAAAATCCCTCCATGAACATTCAAGTACAGTCTAACAACATTCTACCTTCAAATAGACTACTAAATAAAAACAACAATCATTATAATTATAACAACAACAATTACGACAACAGCAATAATTATAACAATGTTATCACCAATAATATTGATGATGTAAACAACAATCATACCAATAGTGACAACTTCAACATGAACAACACCAACAACAACATCAACAACAACATCAACAATAACAACAACAGTGCCAACACTGTAGATACCAATGCTACAACCCACAGCGCAAATATCAGTTGCAATTGGAACATCATCAATAGTGACAACCCTAACAACAACATCAACAACAACAACAACAGCATGAACAATAACAACAACAACAGTGCCAACAATGTAGATACCAACGTCACAACCCACAGCGCAAATATCACTTGCAAATGGAACATCATCACTAGAAGCAAGAAGAACCACAGCGATGATAATAATAATAATAACGTTAACAATAATAATAATGTTTTTCAATATTGTCAAAATAATATTAATAATATGTAGTTAATTAAATAAATTAATTCGTTGATATTTATCTTAACAACCATAATATAAACAATCTTGCCGTTAAAAATTTTAAAAAATTTTAAAAATCGCGTTTTATATTGTTTATAGTTATTAAATTTACTTTATTGGTTTTCTGTTTTAATTAAATAATTTATATAAATTAATAATTACTTGTTCCTTTATATCAAATATCTTACATACCTTATATATAATGCACTGAAGATGAGTTATTTATAACTCGAAATAGCTATTTGCAAATTTATTTAATAAAAATTTAAAAAAAAAACAATAAAATGTCTAATTTCTCGAAAATTAATAAATTAAAAAGAAATATGAAAAAGTTGAACAATGTTGAAAGTAGTGTTGAATTTTTGAAATGTTGCGTTAACAATAGTCTGTTACCAAAATATATATATATATATATATATATATATATATATATATATATATATATATATATAACTTCGTATCTGTGTCATTCATCTATAATGTAATATATAATATGAATACACATAATAATTATACACTCTAATGCAGAATCCATTGTTTTCTCAGACTGATTTACGCTTTGACGGATGTAATCTTCAATATCAATTAATTCAAAAAATTATATTTTTTCCAAAAGTTCCTTTTTATTTGTTTCGAGATAAATACTTAGTTATAAAACTTACCTGCTTTTAAAAATTATTAACTCGCTCTAAGTTACAAAATGAATAATACCACCAAATTAGCTTTTTTCACTCATTTAGGCTTAAAGTTCATGTTTGCTATTTTGGTAATAATATTTTTTAATGGAAATGATTTTTGTTTTGGCAAATGTTTTGAGAAACGTCTTGACTGTCAGTTAGCGGACAAATGTTGCTGCGATGGACCGTCGAGGCAAGCAGCATTCAAGAACACGCCATCCATCCAAGCGTTTCTTTCATGTTCCTGGATGTGTTCCAACAATGAACAGTGCCTGGCTTTCAACTTCAACAACGTCTCAGCAACATGCGATTTGTTCTTCAACTCGCTGAATTGTTTTCAGTTCATTATCGGCTGCGTTCATTTGCAATCGACATGTTTGTATGGGTTCCATTTATTTTTCATCACAGGTTTTGTCAACAATATTGATATTAAAAAATTTTCTTGTTCTCGAAAATCAAGCTCCTCGCGTGTTGACGGTGAATGCAGACGACCAGATTGATTCCTTGTATTTGGACGGAGTGCCACAAGAACGCATGCCCAACTGGGACTTTTATTATTCAGATGATTGGATATCCATCCCATTCAATGTTAAAGTTATCGCTGTTAGAGTTTCTAACTTCGCTGGTGCAGGTTGATGTTTCGTAGTGTATATTGATCTTTGACAGCATTAAAAAATTGATTAATTTCAGATTTGTGTTCGTTATTTCATAAACTATTGCGTCTTAAAATGTTACCTTTTTAATATTCCCTAATACCTGTTCTAATTGAAACTGTTTTCATATTTGACATTATTTTTTATATTGCTTCAATGCCAATCATGCAGATGCGCTTCCAAGTTTTGTTGTAGAATGTAAACCAAACTAATTCTATATATTCATTGAATCAAAATTATGAAAAATCGTGCCAAGCAACGTCTTTTTTAATTGTGTAATTGACATTGGCAGGAAGCTTTGAGGCGTACAGTGATGATGGATTCATTCGGACTGACACCACCTGGAAGTGTTTTCCAACAACTCCAGCCCTGGACTCCAACAACAACAACTGGTATGATGTGCACTACGACGACTCAAATTGGTTGCCTGCTATCAACCAGGAGCCGGGCTATCAATTTAAAGGAGCTTTGAAAATTTGGTCCAGAAACTTTCTCTTAGCCTACTGTCGAAAATTTTTTTGCATTTGACAATGATTGCACCACAAAGTTGTTGTACGATTAGTATGAAATGTTGATGAATACGATTCATTTTTAGTACCAACGTTACGAGTTAATAGCGGTAGTAAACAAATAGCTTCAAGCGATATCATCTTGTTTTAATAAAAATAATCCCAATTTTGATGAGTGAAACGTTAAAGATTTATTTTATTAAAAATTTAATTTATTAGAATGAAATTTTCACTACCAGAGAAAAGTAAAAAAGTTTGAAATTTTATGTTCTTGAAAGAAATTTGTTAAAACATCTAATAAAAGTCAGAAATGTTTTTTCACAAACATCACGAGTCTGTTACGGCCAGCAAGTCGGATTCAGACGATTCAAGCTTCTTCTTTTATTTTTGCATGCGCACTGTTTATTATTTTTCAGAAGTCCTGGACAGTTCTTACTCGGCGAATCATAGCAGGCACCAGAGTCAGCGTTGTAGCAGACCTTGCAGTAACTATCGCATGCTCTCCACACAATTCCAGTAAGCCCTGACGTCGATGGTGAACATCTGCTCCAATCTGCTCGTTTGTTTGTGTGTTTGAGTGCATGTATGCGTGTGTGTGCGCGTGCGTGTGTGTGTGTGCGCGTGTGTGTGTGTGCGCGTGTGTGTGTGTGTGCGTGCGTGTGTGTGTGTGGTGTTTGCGCGTTCATTCAAAAAATTACTAGATGGAATAAATTTAGTAATTTTAAATTTCAAATAGAACCTTTTTTAACATGCAATTTAATGGAAAAAATTTGTAACAGATAGACAACGAACAATGTTTATGGTGAAAGATAATTCTTAAAATTCTTATGGCGCTTCCCGATTTAATTCCTACCCTTCGTTCACACTTTTATGTTTGTTTATTATTATTTATTATTATTATTTTATTATTATTATTATATTGTTATAACCGTGCTACCGAACGCACTAGATTCTAGCGTATTCTAGAATGTTCTAGTGACTGGAGCATTCTAGAGTATGCTAGAATTGGACCATCGAGAAGAATCTAGAAACGACGCTTGCGAAGAGTATAAAAGCGCACGTCGCAAGAAGATTAGTGATATTCGTGATTAGTGAAATTCGTGATTTTGTGAATAGCGATTCGGTGAATTATTTAAAGCGATATTTGATTTGTTTGTTGACGTTGTCATAGATTTTGAACAATTTAAAAGTTAATTGTTGCGTTAATTTGAATTTGCTAGAAATAAACGATTAGTTGATTTCTTCTGTAAATAAAGTTTAATAACTAATAACTGTTTGGAGTATTTTATTCAATCGAAGATTTGAACCGTCGCATCGTAAATCGGTTACGACAGCGAGTATTATAACAATATTATTATTTTTATGTTGAATTTGTATTCTTTGTGTCTCAATTTATATGTTTGTGTGTGCAGATGTATGCATCTTTTACACTTGTTCTGTGGAATGTGTTTTTTGAGCGTTTGCATACTAAACAGTGTGTACTAATTGTTTGATTTATATATCTACCTTTCCTAATTGCATTGTATTATTAATTAACGTATTTTTTTCCTTTATCGACAAGGGGTTTTCCCTGGTTTTTTTTAATTAATAAATAAACAAAATTTTAAAATATTAAATTATGAAATTTAATTGCAGTGAGATGTTTAAAATATGACAATCAGCCCTAACCATCGTAGCACCCAGAGGCAGATGATTGAACGGATGCAGAGCATAGCAGCAGACAGAAAAGAACTGACAAGCCAGTGAAGAACTTCATGTTGGTGAACAATCTAAAAATGTTTGAAGAACTTTTACAAGTAACCGCGGCTTATATTGTGTGTAGTGTTACTAATAGTGTTAAGAACATTAACATACATGTAACATACCATATTTATAAATTTTATTTGTATACAAACAACTACAACTGCATATATTAACTTATGTCAATGCATTTACTTCGCACGTATATTTTCTGACTAATGCCATTGACGTCGTATAACACCAGAATATGCATTGGCGTTAAATCCCCAATTGAAATTACGGCGATGTTCTGTTTGTTTAAACCGAATGTTTGCTCATTTAATTCGTAGAATTTTCAATTATAAATTCGTTTTTTTACGCTCACATTTCAACTACTACAAATTGATTATTGAAGATAGGGTTTTGTGAAGGTCGATGGTCGCCAATGTCTCAATCAATCAACCAATCAATCAGTCAGTCAGTCAGTCATTCAGTCAGTCAGTCAGTCAGTCAGTCAGTCAGTCAGTCAGTCAGTCAGTCAGTCAGTCAGTCAGTCAGTCAGTCAGTCAGTCAGTCAGTCGGATCTAGATCTAGATTAAACAAACGTCAAACTGAACAAACAGTTAAATATTTGTTTAAACAAAATGTGAAAACCCCGACAAATTTACACGCAAAGTAATTGATCTCATCTGCTGATTAAAAAACACAAAGATGACTAAATGATTCTCCGTAACCTAAATTGATCGAATCAATACAAAACCCATGAGAGAGTAAAATTCATTTGTAGTTTTCCAATTGTACGTACTTAAATACACCATCGTAAAGTTCATGAAACACCTTTCACCGATGAAAAATATAGAGAAATAATTATTATTGGTAGGTTTGCAGTAAATTCAAATTTGTATTATTTAAAACAAATTTTGAATTGATCAGTGTAGAAGTGTTTTTAATTATACACACTTTTCAGATGCTAAAGGTACTATCGGTAATTTTGAGAAATCTAATTTCCATGTACAAGCTCCCAAAATATCGCATTATTTTCACTCTCACCGAGTGAAGTCATTTCTATTGGTTTGCATTATCAATCTAAAATATTTCTGCTAGTTTTTCTAGGTTTTTAACAAATTTTTTATTTTTTCGTTTTGCAATTAGCCTTTTACCCACCAACTTTCCCAGATGAGAGGAGGACCAAATGGACTCCGGTAACCCTCTATATCTTTCACTGACCAGAACTGTGCCCAGGCAAGCACTTTTCATATCTAGAAAGGCTGATTGAGATTTTTTTGGAATTCTTAACCAACGAACTCACGGAGTCACATTACAAGACGACTTTATGTTTTTTTAAAACTCTGTTTATGAAATTCTTCAAAGTTGCTCCAGTTACGATGAATTAAAATGACCAATCTCATTTTGAAATCAGCGCTTTCGACAGCAAACGATAGATTTTATTTTCAAAAAATAACTGCAAATCTTATAGAAAAGAATATATAACTATTGAATATAATATATAACTATTATTAAATATATAACTATTTAATTAAAAAAATATATTTATATAACTATGTAATATAAAAAATAAAATATTGTAATAGATACTTAAAATAAATTTTATATCTTTACATCAATTTTCTTTTGAAACGAGCGGTTGGATAATCGATTGAATATCGATGAACAATATTTATATATTTATACATATATCTGCGTGTTTCTGTCACTTTCACTAATAACTCATTCAAAAAAATGTGCATAGTTGTAGCTAATCTCATCTATGAATCTACTTCAGAAATGTAAATGTTTTGTTTGAAAGGAGGTTTCCTTTGAATGTTAAAATACATTGGTGTGGTAAATATTTAAAACGTTCAAACGGATTGCCAGAAGATATAACATGGGTGACAAATCCTCAGATAAACCATCTTCAAACAATAAAATGTGTGTGTCAAATGAACCTTTGCACACAAAAAAACAAGATAAAAATTCGCGTGAGTTGTCTCCATCTTGTTTTTTTATCAAAATTTAAATAAATGTTCATCTAACAATGAACTGTTAATAAAAATAATGTTATAAACGTTTCGAAATGTTTAATTCTAATGAATTAATTCTTGATAAAATATCTTCATCCCATTGAAAGACACCACTTGGTGCGGTTCAGTGATCATTCTCGTCAATTCAATGCTTGGGACGTCCATGTTCAACCTCCCACTTGTCTTTCATCAGTCGGGAGGAGTTGTAGTGGCCACAGCTGTTGAGATTGTGGGTTACTGTTATTATTGTTTGCTTATTATATGGCGTGAATATTGCATCCATATATTTTAACTGAAATTGGTAAAAATATTCAATTAAATAACTCATTTTTAATAAAGAGTTAATAAAATTAGGTTGGCGTAAATAATTCATCAAATCCGAAATGTTTTTAAAAAATTTAAAAAAAAATAATTAAGATGATATTTTGAAAAAATGTAAAGTAACATTTGTTGTTACCAAAATAACAAAATAGAAATTGATATATAACATTTGTTGAATTGTATTATTAAGCCTTGATAAACATTTATAAATATCCAACTTATTCAAATTCTTCCCGCCAGATCATGACTGTTCCATTAATTTTCCTTTCGCTGGCGTTTGTCCACTGTGCCAGGAAGCACAACTGCAGATCCTACCAGGAGGTAGTTTGCAAATACTGCGGCAAACAAATCAACGCCCTGAGTGCAATCATGTTTGTGCTGCTGATGTTCGGACTAAACGTCGTGTTGTTCATCTTCATAAGAGATCAGTGGGAGAAATGTTGGTTCACCATTTTGTTCTGCATTTAATTTTAATGAAAAATGATTTTCAAAATCAAGTTTTGCAAATGCTGCAAGTGAACTCTGTGTCCATAGAGTTCTGGTACATGGACAGGAAATTTATTACGATAATCTCCTCCATTGTCATCGTTCTTCCGCTTTGTTTCTCCAAGAGAATTGATTTTCTCAAATATGCAAGGTCACTTAACCAAATTTTAACTTAAAAATTTGATTTTAATTAAAGTGTTAACTTTTTTATATATACATACGACCTCTCACGTCTCGGGAGTTAAATTTTCAACTTGCGGGCACTCATGTGACTTTGTAGTTCGATCATATCACAAACACTACATTGAAACAGACCAGTTGGTGTTGTCATTGCACTTTTTTATTACATCTGTTAATTAACCACAACAGCTTAGAAGAGCAACGCATTTTCTCCAGTAAATCGAAAGATCTTTGTTGGGTCAACAAAAACAATGTAAAGCTTCGGTTTCATTTTACGGAATTTCCGATCTGTAAGCCTTCTACAAGACCACAGTAGACTTTCCACTTCTGAAATTTAATGGGAACTTTAAGTAAATCACAGAGTTCAAAATATGCAACCTTGATAGCTCTATTGCTAAAATCTTTCTTTACGAAGTGTGAAAAACAAACTACAGAAATAATACATCAAAGACTAAGTAAACATAACATATATAGCGGTTCAGAAGACTAGTGCCCGTGTGAGAACCACTGATTGACTTATAATCCTAGTACTCCCAACTTGATCATAAAACTGTTGGTTGATTCTACGAAAACCGTCTCATTATTCAGCTCATTTTAGATGCTGCTAACAAATCTTTGCTTGATTTGACAATCTGTCTTCTTTAAAAGCTTGTACCTATGACCTCGAGGTCCTCTTCTAGCCTCCAATTGAAAGAGTCCGGTAAATGGCGTATCCTGTTTTCCGGAAATCAATTTGTACGTCAGCATCATATCCTCTTTGCATCTTCTTTTCTCTAGAGTAGTCAGTCTATATTCTCTCAATCTATCATTGTAATAAAGTTTTTTAAGAACTTTTGATCATCTTTAATCTTTACAGATAAAACGCTTTTATTTTAAATAACTCTTGTTTTCAACTAGATTTGTAAAATGTCTAAATAAATTAAAAATAAAATTAATACAACTATTTTAAATAAAAAATTTTTGCGCTGAATTTTTCATTTTTTCCAACCAAACCTTTAGTTACGTTGGCATCTTGGCAGCCGTGTATTGTGTGGTGCTGATAACTGTTAAGTACTTCACGGGAGTGGATGGCTCGAAGGTAGGCCCTCTGAGGCACTGGTTGGTGAATCTCTGAAAAATGTTATGAATGATAAAAAAGTCAAATGTGTATTTCTATTTGCGTGTGTACGGTTTAGGAAAAAATATTAAGAAGAATGAAGAAATTGGTGCAAATACATTTTAACATGTTAAAAAGTTTGTTGTATGAGAATTTTTTCAAAATGTCAAAATGAAAACTTGAATTTGATCTGAATTTTCAGTTATTTATCAAATATTAGATGAATATATCGATAAAAAACATATAATTTTGATTCGTTAAGATTCGTTAATAATTTTTGATTCGTAGCTACGCTACGGTCACTTGAGAACTACAGACTTCACTGAACTTCTTGTTAAATAAATAACAATAATTATTATTAAATTTAATATAAAAATTAATTACAAATTAAATATTTTTTATTGAAACCACATTTTGAAGGCCAGACCGAGTTACTGACATCTTCTATGTGGTGCCGTCTTTCTCTGTGGGGTACCAGGTTGGTTTTTAAAAGAAATTCAATATCCAATTACTACCTATAAGTTTTTTTAGATATTAATTAAAAGTTAAAGTCTTCCATTTAAATTAATTGACAAAAATTTTAGACATAATGTTACAGTTCACTTTCTGAGTAAAAGCCTAATTAAATTATTTTTGAGAATCCTTTTTAGAATAACATTGATTCCAATTTTTAACATTTTTGTTTTCAAAACACGAAAATTATCAAGTTTTATGCCAAAATCAATTTTATACTTCCTGTTTTCCTCAGCCATTCAGTAGACTGACAATTACAACCCAAATATTTCAAAAAGCAATGAAAACATCAAATGACAATAGTTTCTTGTTGTCTATTATGATTATTATTACTTTATAGCAGAGGTGGGCAAACGTTTGAGAACTATATTACTATATTATGTTTGAAGGGCCACCTATGTACTTCAATTGCCAAATTTTTCGACACGGGGGAGAATTTTTTAAGATTTGTGGCTTCCTTTTTTGTTCATAATGTCTGGCTGACGATCTTTATTTCTTTTTTTTTGGTGGGCCGCTTAAAATAGCTTCGCGGGCCGTCGTTTGCCCCCTCGTGCATTATAGCCGTCATAAACAGTCCTAAAAAATTGTCAAACATATGGAACGCTGTTGTTTTGCAAACAATCGATTTTTCGTACACATTTTCACAAAGAACATTACTACAATAAAACAACAGTGACACGTTTTATTGATTGCAATTCTAATGTCATTGATTTGATGAAAAAGTTTAAATCTTTGGTTCATCAAATATTACACACCCATCCAGTGTACCGTAACTGTTGTACCAGTTTATTCATGCACTAAGGACCGGGATATGAACAACAACTTCACGAAAGCAGTTTTTGCGACGTTCATAATAATATTTTCATTCTACACAATGCTCGCTATCTTTGCGTATCTAACCTTTGGATCGTGTGTGCAGGTAATGCTGAAATATATTAAAGACAATTTATAATTGAATTAATATCGTGTTTAATTATTTTTGAAAAGAAATTTTTTGAACTTACTCAGAAAAAACCAGTGAAAATTAAAATTGAAAAAAAAACAAAAAAATGTTTCAATAACAAAATCTTTATTTAATACATGAAATCATTAAAACTGTTAAGAATAAATTAGAGTCATTGGGACCAAATTTATAAAAACATGTACATTTTCTTACACTTGCATGCCCAATACGGCACATAAAAGTATGTATATATAGTGATTTAAGTGAATGAGTCGGAATTGGTTTTTAAATTTCAACTTTATAAATGATGCTTGATGAAATTTTCTTTTCAGTCAGATATAATCTTGGCATACAAAGCTACACCAGATGTCATGGCTGCCGTATTGTCTGTCGCCTTGAAGGTGTACATGTTGTTTCCTGTCCCGTTGTTTCTTGGAAGGTTACAACAAATTTTAACAACCACGTTTAATGAAATCTATTAATTTGAGAAAAAATATGTTTTGTATAAAATAATCTGTCTAATTTTCAAACTAGGCAATTATAGAAGCTGTTTATTGCGTGATGCTTTATAAAACTCATTTCAAACGTAGCTGTGCCTTACAGTTTTTATAATCCAACGTCACAAATGGTTGCTAGACATTATAACATTGATGCATGCATTTCTTTAAATGTAGAGAACTGCATTAAATTTAGAAGAAAATGTGCGTGAAAATTTTTTAAAACCTTTAGAACTAGCTGAGACAATTGTGTGATTGTTCTATCGAAGCTCAACCAAACCAAAATGTAAAGTATATTATTCTATGAGACCAGATAAACTAGATTGAATGAATAAAAATAAAAATAACTCTTAAAAAATTATAGATAATAAACTTCATCCATGGAAACTATAAGTTGATAATAATTTGAAATAGAAATTCTCAAAAAAATAATGATCAAATTAATTATTTTAAATTTGTGTGCTTTTTATTAAAACTATTTTTCAGCAAATAAATGTTTAAAGGTAGATCTAAAAGAATTCTTCACATTTGAATGAAAAAAAGTTTTAAAGATTTTGTAACAAATCCTCTGCAAATGCCTGAATAAATACTGATAACTTCACACTAATGTTTACAAAGTTGTTAATAGCGAAATATCGCCATCGGTAGCACCAAGTAGCGATTTTGGTAACGACTCTACATTTGAAGCTGCACTGAAATCCCAATCGCTACCCACTACTTTTTAAAAATTTTCTATCATTTTCCAACAGAATGACTTTAGAAGAAATTTGCCAAAAACTTAAAAACATGAAATCAGTTGGAACAGAAGCTGACAGTGGCACAATTGAAATGACCGCCGAAAACTCAAACACCTGCAACAACGAACCTGCCGCCATAACAAGCACCGATGATAAGTTGGAGGTGAGACGTCGGGTCATGATAACGTTGTGCTGGTTCATTTCAACTTTGCTGACCTCTTTGTTCGTCCCTGACATTGACAAGGTCATTTCATTCCTCGGAGTCTTGGCTGTATGGTTTTCATTCATATTTCCTGGTTAGTAAAATAATATTTATGCTTTGCTTCAAACACGAAATCAACATTTTTAATTCACGCAATCCAAACAATGGTGTTAATCATGCACATCGTCATTGTCTCCCTGCTGGTGAGATTTACATGGGAACAAAATTCAGAAACAATTTTGAAGTTTTGTGAAAATATTACTAATTAGTAAATGTTTCAAGCATACATTTGTACGATTTCAACAGGCATATGCATTCTGAGATACATGTTGATGTACGACAATGGGTACAATCGCATCGACAACTTGGACTCCAACACAAATGATTACCAAAGCCTCGACGGCCAAACTCTGATTCCGTCAAATGAAAATGTTTTAAAAAGTAAATGCAAAAGGTACGCGAAACTTGCACTGCCCATCGTCTGCATCTTCTTTGGAATGTTCCTCTCAGTGATGTCTCTTGTGCAGAGCGTCATGAAGGTTGCCACTATCAATCCGTTCGATGCAATCTGCCAAGAAAATATTAATGGGAATGCGACTATTAGTTAACATTTAAAAACACTGAAATATTGTAGAAAATTATTTAATAAATAAGTTTGCATAATAAAGATGGAAAAAAATACTATAAAAATTTAATATTTCAAAATTCAAAGTTATGTCATAAAATGTAAGTTAGCAATTAATTTATTTCAACATAGTTTTTTTTATAAAATTTTTTTAAGCTCTTTAACAACTATTCAACATTTTAAAAAGTCTTGGTTCGTGAGATTATTTTGAAAGATGCATAATACAGACTCCTAAACTCTGACTGGTAAAGCTCATTACAGTGAATGTTCAAACAAACACTTCAAAACTGAGAGAGTCAAAAAATTTTGCTCACCAATTAGACGTTTATTATTTTGTATATATGCATTGTATTTGTTGTATTCTGTTCGTTGTTAGATCAGGAAAATGTTAATTTTTTAAGAGATTTAATACGGTGCTGCTTTCTTGAATGCCTCGTTACATCTGCAACACATCCGATTTTTCTTTTTTCACCTAGTCAAAATGTTTTCACTTGTTATGCTTTCCTCGGCGGAATGACGTAGCAAAGTCACCGATATGAAATGATATCATCCAGTAGTACTTATGTAACTTTCATGGTGAAGCAAGCTAGTATTATAACAAACTTTTGTAGTTAGTAACATTGTGTTTTTGTTCTTATTTCTGATTATTATTACTTTTTTATGAGACAAAATTGGAATTTTGACCAAACGAAATTTTTTCTAGCCGACAAGGTGCAAATTGTTTTGTGGGTATTTGAATGTTAATGAAAAAAAACACTACAAAAGATTACGATTGCAAGAATATGATTGCAAGTTTGATAATTTATTACCACAAATCAATAACTACTAAATTTATTTGATATATATTTAAAGAACTGGCAAAAAGTCAAAATACAAAAGTTTGATATATTCTATTTAAATGTTATATTCAAGAAGCAAATCAGAAAGAAGTTTGCTGTTTATGCATTTTCATACTTTTGTTTCTAAAAAATTATACTTTTTTTAATTTTATTAATTATTTTCTCTATTTTAACAAAAAAAATACTTGATTAAACATGTGTTGAATATTTTGCCAAGTGAAACCTTATTGCGCCTCACATCTCACTTATCTCGGGCTATGCCTGTGAAAAGAGTTTTGACGTTCGAACTTCATTGAGCCTTACTCTTGTCATTAACTTTTTGAATCTTTTTCTTAAAATCTGTTCAAACTTCTTGAAACTTACTTTTATTTCAAACTCTTTGAATCTTATTCATGAAGCTTTAGAGTTTATAAAGGTCATCTTCAAATGATCACTGCATAAAAATGCAAGAAATGTGGTCAACAATTGGCATTATTTAACTAAAAATTGCAACAGATCCGCATGCAAGACAGTTGGGAAGACTGTTAAAGTCCATTGCTTCTTACAATTTGTGACTAAAATCGACATGGATTAGTCATCTGATACTGACTGTGACACTGACAATGAAGAGAATGGAGTTCATATTAGACCAGGTGTGCAAACTTCGTGCTCTGAGGACTGCATTGTGAACTATTTTACTTTTGAAGGGCTCATATGTACTTCAATAACAAACTTTTTTCGGCTCGGGAGAAAAATTTTTTTAAAACTTGTGGTTTTTTTTTGGTAATAATGTCTGGCTGACGAACAAGGCAACACGGGCCGCATATAATAGTTTTGCGGGCCGACTTTGCCCACTCCTGTATTAGACAATAGATCGCTGATACACACGTCAATGATTTATTACAGTTCTATATAAGTCTTCAATGTTGAATTGTTTGTTGAATAGTCAAAGTTGCCGTTTTTTTAAATTTTGTAAACATTTTTTTAACTTAATTTTTATTTGAGTTCATCGAACTTCTATGAAATTTAAAACTTATTTTCAAACTTCAATGCTACGTCCTTAAACACCGCGTCAGATATGTGACGACATCGTGTGCTAGGAGGTGTGAGAACGTTTTGGTAAATATTTTTAAGATTTATTATTTCTAATTTAAAGAAGTAATCATTGAAAACCTAAAACAACTTGACATAAAAAAAATGATAATGGCTCAACAACTCTTCATCTATTTAAAGCCACTTCAGTTCGTCTTCAAATTAGGCCAAAGACGAAATAAATAATTAAAAATAAAATTTCAAAAAATTTCGACTTGAAATCAGCGTTTATAACAGCAAACAGCAAAACTTCTATTTTAAAATAATTGGAAATGAACTCCGAAGGAGTTGAGAAATGTTGAACCTTCAAACTCGAAAGTTCGCCGCCATCCGCTCAAAAGAATTTATTAAAAGTAGGCAAGCTCTAGCTGGTAAATAAATAAAAAAATTTACAAAAACAAAAATTTTATGTAAAATCTGTCACAAAATTCAAGTTAATTTAACAAAATTCAGGTATTGAAAATTAGAAAAATAATGTACTGAATATTAATATTAATTTAAATCGTAAAATAATGACTTTGAAAATCTCATTTGGCAACAAGCAGACATAAACGTCAATACCAAATTAAATAAGTTCCAGAGCGTTACATACAACAGTCATTGGAGTAAGAGGTTTATTAATTCGTCGATTGAATACCAATACACCTAAACAATGAGCAGCATTTGAGAATACATGTACTTGTACATGCGTTTGTCGCCAGTCACCGTCTGGCTCGCAATCAACTCATCTAAATGAATGTAAACTTAGTAGTAAGAACAAAAGTTCGTTATCACGTAATAATATAAAAAAGATTTTTGTTGAATTTTGTTGATTATCATTAACTACTCATAAAAATTAAATATACAATTGATGACAGGCTAGCAGTTAAAGTTAAACCAACTTGAAAAAATAAATGGATGAATCGAACAAACTTTTGCTTATCAAACTCCAAGATAAAGATTTGAGTGAGTTGTTCCCTTAATATTGCTAATGATATTCAGCTAAAAAAGTTTTATCAACAGTGAACCATTATCAAAATTTTTTTTTTTTTTAATATTTCACTTTTATGAATTAGTTCCTAAAAAATCTTTATCCCATTAAAAGACACCAGCTGGCGCGGTTCAGTTATAATACTCATAAATGCGATGCTCGGAACGGCCATGTTCAACCTGCCACTTGTCTACCATCAATCCGGAGGAATTGTAGCGGCCACAGCCGTTGGGATTGTGAGTTTGTATTATTTTTTTTTCATTTTTTTATTACCTTTTTATATCTGACAGGTGTGTACAATTGTGGCATTCCGACCAAATTTGATGACAAATTAAATATAATGTATTTTATCTTATTAATAAAAAATTTTTAAATTTGTGTTTTGAAAAATAATTTATAAAAAAATTTGAGCACTTATTTTATAAATCAAAAATGTAATATAACATTTTTGTTTACAAAATAAGAATTAATTTAAATCTTTTTATCGTGTGTAGAACTTTAACTTCTATACATTTTAATACTTTATATTAACATAATTGTTAAGATTCCAATTCCTTTAAACCTCTCCCGTCAGATCATGATCATTCCAATGAGCGCCATCTCACTGGCATTTGTCCACTGTGCCAGGAAACACAACTGCAAATCATACCACGAAGTCATCTGTGAGTACTCCGGTAATAAATTCAACGTGCTGTGTTACATCATGTTCATTGTCAACCTGTTCGGAGTATGCATGATATTTCTCATTTTGATTGGAGACCAGTGGGAAAAATGTAGGTAGGTCTAACGTTTTGTTCTCTTCTTATGTCTCTTAAAATATGTTTCTACAAACTCAAGTCATGCAAATGCTGCAAAAGAACTCGGTGCCCAAAGATCTCTGGTACATGGACAGGAAATTCGTCATGACTCTCTCCTCCATTGTCATCATTCTTCCTCTCTCTTTCTCCAAGAGGATTGACTTCCTCAAATATGCAAGGTCACTTAACTGAGTTTTAAGCTCAAATTTTAATTTCTATCAAAATTTCATCTTTGTTTACAAAATATTAAGAACAAAATAAGCAAGTTTTTTTTTAAATTGCAAAATTTGTTAAAATGAAATGTTTTTTGAAATAGTTTAATCTTTTATGCAGCTCTGTAAAATCTTTACATAGGTCATTAGTAAATTTGATGTATTGTTTAATGAAAAATGTGTTTTAAATGTTTTCACTTCCACCAACCAACCCTGCAGTTACGTTGGCATTCTGGCAGTCGTGTATTGTGTGGTGCTGGTAACTGTTAAGTATTTCACGGGGGTGAATAATTCAAAGGTCGGCCCTCTGAGGCACTGGTCGGTGAGCAACTGAATGATTTTATGTGATATTAATAAAGTGAATTTGTATTGTTATCTACGTTGATATTTGTAGTGGGTTTTTTTGAGAGGTTACCGTATAAAAGTTTATTTCCTGCACATCACCAAAAATTTTCATGTACCGTCATGTGAGTAAGCAAGGATAAAGGACAGTTGTTTTTTTTATCTTTTAGTTAAAAAATGTGTATACATCTGAACATATGTTTGCCAACGCATGCAAATTAAAAATGAATATTTTTAAATGAATTGACGTGAAGGCATACTGATTGAAGAAAGTTTTTAAAAACTTTCTCATAAACTGATATGCCAGGTGCATTTGTCTATTTTTACTAAGTTATTATTCAAATGTAAAGAGTATTTACTACGCATACACTTGCCATAGTCAAAGATGTATGCATATATTGTGTGCTTTCTGTGTGAGTTTGTGTGTGTGTGTATGCCTGCGTGTATGTGTGTGTATGCCTGCGTGTATGTGTGTGTGCGGATGTGTGTGCGTGTACGCGTGTGAATGTAGATTGTGTTTTTGTTGGTTTAAAGTAAAAAATATTTATCAAACAAAAATCCTCCTACCTTTATTGATCACTTTTCTTCGTATTGTATTCTAGAATAAATCAAAAATCACATCAGGTGTTCAAAAGTTATTTGTGATAAATATTTTAAAATGTACAGAAAAAAAATTTATATTTGATGCAGTAATGGGAAATTTATAATCCGCTTTCCGATTAATAAAAATTGATAAAATTTTTGGTTCAAATTATAAAAAAGTCATTTTATTCCTAAATCTTCATCCTCAAGGCCAGAACGTGCTACTGATGTTTTCCTAGCAGTTCCGACAGTGGCTGTGGGATATCAGGTTAGGGCTAGGTTTAGAGTTTTCAGGTTATTTTTTGCGATTTTCAGTTTATCCATTGGTAATTCCATTCATGCTGCCTCATGTTATCAAATAATGTTTCGATGTATTTGAAAATTATGATCTTTAACTTTTAATCAAAGGTTATAAATTGATTTTTTTTCAATATACTTGCTTGCAAGTTTCTCAAATTCAACGCTAGGTTACTAACGTGATAAATTTTCATGGTAGAGACTCAGACTTCTTACTTCATGTTTTTCTTATTCATTTAAAAGACAATATATTATAGTAGCCAAATGTGTCAGAAATCAATCAACCTTAAATTGCAATCTTGTCGCGTTTATATTACTACTCAATAATCACTTTTTATACAGTAATAACTATTGCATGCTTTTGACTCTATTGTCTAAATTTATGTAATCTTAAATCACATTCAATTTTACATTCTTCATAATATAAGACATAAAGTTAGTTGCAATCTTTAGCTGAAGATTAAGATATTTTTGTTTCTATGATTAACATTTTAATGAGGCGTGTTTAATACTTATATGCAAATTAAATATATGCATATCATTTAACGTAATCAGAACCAGAACGTTACAGCAGCAAAATTTCAACCAATTTATTACAAATAATACGTAGAACTTATGTTGCCAATAAACTGAATGCAGATTTTAAATCGTACATTAAATGTTACTCGCTCGATCAGTGCAATACAAGTATTGTGTCAGTGTATTCATGTACTAGAGACCGAGATCTCAACCACAACTTCACAAAGGCAGTTGTTCTTACGTTCGTAATATCATTTGTTCTATGTACAATGCTCTCCGTATTTGCCTATTTAACGTTTGGATCTTGTGTGCAGGTTTGTTTGATATTTGCTGATGGTTTCTTTTTATAATTCAAAATTAAATATAAATAAATTTATATTTGAATTAATGTCGTGTATTTTTAATTTAAAAAGTTTGGATCAGTTAATGTATTAGCGAATGACAACATTACCTTTAAAATTGGCATCTGAAAAAGACACAAAAATTATTTTGCTATTCATTGGAAAATCAAACAAAGTTTTCGTATTTCAAAATTCAAAACAGTGGACAACCAACTGAAATCATTTTAAAAAATTACTAAAAATATTTATTTGCATGCAATCTAGAACATACCTTTGAATGAAAAGAAGCAGAATCGACTTGAAAAATTTAATATATTAAGTGGTGTTTGATGAAATTTTTCTTCCCAGGCAGACATACTCCTATCATACGAGGCATCGCCAGATGTCATGGCTGCAGTTTTGTCGGTTGCTTTGAAAATGTACATGTCGTTTCCCATACTGTTGTTCCTGGGAAGGTTAAAAGCAAGTTCCATCAGACATTATGGCCAAAAAAAGGAGCCATTAATCTTAAAAATTTTTTTCCTGGGTCAAAAAATTTGCTATTTAAATACATATGCGGCCCTTCAAAAGTAAAATTGTCTTCAATGCGGCCCTCACAGCAAATAGTTTGCCACCCAATGATTTGCGATGAGTTTATTTTTAATTTAAATAATGATTATAAAATTGAAGAACTTATTTAATAATTTAGTTGGGGTTTTCTAAAATAAAAGTTAAATTACAAAGAAAAATGTTACCAGAATTTTATTAAAAGCAAACAAAATGTCAAAAGTTAAACTTTAAAAAATTCCTTACATTAGAATGAAACGTTTATTAACATTTTTTCCATGAGTAAGTGTAATTTATTCGGCATAGGTAGTTCTCACCCGTTTTACTCGTTCAAATAAGAAACCGTGAAATTTTTGATTAAAATTTTATTTCCGACATGAAATTTTGAGTTAATGTAACATCACTAAGAAATTATAACACACTTCAGATGTGTATCCAAATAAAATACGCCTCATTAAACGAACAATCATTTTTCAAGTTATTTTCCATTTTCAGCATTCAACGGCTGGGTGGGTGAACATTTGTACATGCTTATGTACATGAAAGTTTATTATTGAACATATGTCCAATTTTATAAATAATAAGATTTTGGGATTTAATACATATTTTATTCAGTTTGTTTGAATCATAAAAAAAAGTTGAATGATTTTGAAACAGAATGTCAGTTGAAGAAATATGCCAAAAGTTGAAAAACATGAAATCAGTTGGAACAGAAGCTGACAGTGGCACAATTGAAATGACCGCCGAAAATTCAAACACCTGCAACAACGAACCTGCCGCCATAACAAGCACCGATGATAAGTTGGAGGTGAGACGTCGGGTCATGATAACGTTGTGCTGGTTCATTTCAACTTTGCTGACCTCTTTGTTCGTCCCTGACATTGACAAGGTCATTTCATTCCTCGGATTCTTTGCTGTATGGTTTTCATTCATATTCCCTGGTGAGTGTTTATTTTTTTTAATCCACGCATTGTGATACTACTTTGAAACAATTTTGAAACCATCAATAAGGATCACGGTGCAAATAAAAATATTTCGATCTCAAATATGAATATATATTGCATTTTCATTTGACGTTGATAAAATTCAAAAAATAAAAACTATTTAGGAGCAAAGGTAATTTGTTTACTTCGAGATCATTCAATATTTCAAGCACACATTTGTACGATTTCAACAGGCATATGCATTCTGAGATACATGTTGATGTACGACAATGGGTACAATCGCATCGACAACTTGGACTCCAACACAAATGATTACCAAAGCCTTGACGGCCAAACTCTGATTCCGTCAAATGGAAATGTTTTAAAAAGTAAATGCAAATGGTACGCGAAACTTGCACTGCCCATCGTCTGCATCTTCTTTGGAGTGTTCCTCTCAGTGATGTCTTTTGTGCAAAGCGTCATGAAGGTTGTCACTATCAATCCGACCGATGCAATCTGCCAAGAAAATATTAACGCCACAATTATTTAGCACCTAAGTTACATTATCATTGTTATAGGAAATTAACTTGTAAGTTTGCATAATACAAATGAAATGGAATATATTTTGATATTTATTTGCCGAATACTTTAACTTTTTTGAAATAATTTGATGAGTTATCTATATAGATTTTCACATATTGTAATTGCATTTATTGAAGCTCGTATTTATCAACATGATTTAAAAAAACAAACAAACAAACTGAAACTGAAAATGCTTGAAGAAATACTTTCTCACAATTCTCTTTTTTTTGTTTTAGGTCTGAAATTATTTTATTTTGTTTTGTTCTTCTGTTCGAGTAATTGAAAAACATTGTAAAACACTTTTACTCTAGTTATTTTGGAAACTAAAAACCTAAGCCTGTCTGACTAATTTATTTCTATTTAATTCTAGTTTTCATGGTCATAAAAATTTCTTTTTAATTTGTTTTTGTTCAAATATATTAATAAATATTTCATTACTTTTATTCATTGGTTGCGTTTCAACCAAATTTTATTTAAATTTGTTCAAATGAAAACCAGCAATTGTGTTTAAATGAAGTCGTTTTCAAATTATTTATTTAAACCATCTTTTAAAAAAGACGAGCCATTTTAATATGTTGGTTATTAATGAAAAAATAAAATTTTTTCTGTCAACAAAAAAATTAATCAGTCAATCAAACAAACAATCACACAATCAATCACTCACTCAATCAATCAGAAAATCAATCAAGTAAATCTATATTGTCCAACTTTTAAAAATTCAACTGCACTCACCCTTAAATTCGCAATAAAATCATTCAGTCCAAAAAAATCAATCAAGAATCTTGTTTAACCTCTAAATTAAACAAAATAAATTATATAACAAATTATCAATCAATCGCTGAATAGTGATTTAATCATTGCTTGTCACTTCACTCGCAATTCGTTACTATTTTTTTGATGAATTTTTGTTCAGATTGTTGTTGTTTATGTTGGCAGTTGGGTTGTTTTGGAAAGATCTGTCATTCTTTCTGGTTGAGGCGTGGCTCTGATGGGAAAAAATTTATTGATGTAATAGATTAAATATATAAATAATTTATTAAAAAAAATTATTAATCCATTTTTATATATTTGTGCGTGTGTGTGTGTGTGTGTGTGTCTGCGTGATGTGTGAAAAGTTAAAGGAATTTATTTAAAAATTCACTGTATCAGGAGAGAATTCTCTGGGTGAAGCATTCGGGTGACTGGGTGATACCTCACTGTAAAATTGTTTTAATTATGTTCAAATAATCGTTTAAAATTAACTTAAGCATTAAATTCCAACAAATATGTGTCAGTTAAAATAAAAGTGAAAATGTTTAAAATAAATCTAATAAAATTAAATTCAAATTTTAAAAGTGTTTAAAGTTTTTCACTTGTCTTCATCGCAGCAGCTTGGCTTACAACAGCAGTAGTCAGTATTCGAACTCATGATCAATCTTTGTATTATTATGTAGGTACTTTAAAAATAAAACAACAACAAAACCAAATAATTTGGCAAACAAACTGTAAATTTTAAAACAATTTAATAATTAAAAGTTGAAATAAAGTTGATGCGTTCGATCGATTAGCTCGGCTATTTATACTCATTTCTGAGGCAATAATTTGTAATGTTATCAGCTTTGATTTTCTTAACCACGCCGATGTGTCAAACCACAGATGAACTTTAAAATTTCCCAAGTTTAAACTTTTAAAATTTATACGAAAAACTGTGAATTTTTTTTCAAACAATTTCTTAATTATTGTTAGTCATAGTCTAGCTCTTATTATTGGTTATATATATATATATATATATAATATAATATAATATATATATAATATATATATATATATGTGGTATGAGTATATATATATATATATATATATATATATATAATATAATTTGGTATGAGGTTTTCAGATAAACATGTTCGGTTGAAGATTACACCCCATTTTGCAGTTAGAAGTTTTTTAAAAAAAATTTCAACAACACGAAGCTGTGTGTGTGTAGATGTATATAAAGATCAGTGTATCAGTGCGTGTTTATCGTGTGGTTTTTTAAATATGAAATCATCGGAATTACCAAATTGTTAACACATGAACACATGATAGCACTATTTTAAAACTGGGCACTGTTTGAAGAGTGCACATTTTCTATAGAAATAACATTAAATTAAATTAGAATACTGGTTTTATATAATTCCTCGTAGGAAACAGTAGAAATGGTTAAGTGATTGTTATGATATAATTGTGCAAACGATAAATTCTCCCAAGAAGAATTATATATAATTACTATATCACTGTGTGTGTCTATGTGTGTATGTGTTTGTGTGTGTGCTTGTGTGTGTGCGCGTGCGTGCGTGTGTATTTTCTGTTTTTTCAAGGTGAAACCAATGGAAATCCCAATAATTTGAATGAATCAGAGTAATCTGAATCTGAATAATACGAAGGGAAGAAGGAATCAACTTTTACAATAAATCATTCTTTTTCTTATTATTCTTGTTGTTTTCAGCTTGTGTTTTGCTATTATAAGTATTATATAATTCCTCTTATGTTGTTTTTTTCAATGAATATTTTTTTCCTTCAAATTTCAGGCTTTTTTATATAAAATATTTTTAATTAAAATATTTTAATCAACAATAGAATTATAAATAGCCGGAGGCTTTCTGGCTAAAAAGCCTGACATTGCTATTCAGTGTCCGGGTCCTAATGCAAAAAGATCTCCGCCTTATATAGAATACGTATCATCCATTCCTTAACTCGTGGATGTCTGCATACCACTGAGTCTATTTTACTAATCCAGAGTGTCTCGGAGTTGGGAAAATGTTAATCCGACAACCGGTAACTATTTCCAATTCATGAATTAACAAACAAAAATAATAAAGTTAGCCACCGTCTGATGAGAACGATTCTAACTAAGACCACAGAGCTAGCCAGACTACAATTTTTTACAAAAATACCCCAATTATACTGAGGGGGGCCCAGAGAAAAAACTCAACGAACACCCATTGTAACGTTTCACATCACGGAAATCTTCAGTCAAATGTGAAAGATTTATTCGTGGAATGAAGGAAAACCAGTCATACCATGTTCCTACAAAGGGCAGCTGTGTAATTCCATACAATGTTGAGTGAGGGGTTTTTATAAATTGATTTTAATGACCCATTAGCCGCAAAATGCTAATTAAATTACCATACAACCTGGTTTTTATAATGCACAAAGGAACTGGCATATATATAGAATATGACATATATATTCATGTATATAACCTATATATATATGGGCACAGGCCTCTGTATTTAACATAAAAAAAAATAATTATTGCTGAAAAGTTTATAAAAATTATATTAATAGTTAGTATTTAAATTTTAAAAATGATATTCATACATTTGTTTGGGATTGCCTGAAAAATAAACACAAAAATACCTTATTTTTTTTTGGCTTTGATATGTTTGGAGTTAAATTCACTTTTATTTATTTTTTTATATGTAAAATGATTTAAGATTTAAAAAGCTAAAAGTTTGAAAATGCGTGTCGGTGGTTAATGGCGTGCGATCTCTTAGTCTCTATTATTTCTCGTAATTCTCAGTGCTTCATTTTTTCAACATTTTTATTTTATAATAATTATAAATATATAAATTAATATCATAGAATAGTTAATTAATAAAATATGAATATTTTTTAATACGTATTTTTATTTATTTATTTTATATTTTTATAAGATCACTTATTTATTATTAAACTATTTCAATTAAATAAAATTAAAAAATTGAACACAGGCAAACAATGTCCTCCATACACAGTTAAGTTCAAAGTGAGAAGGTAAAGACTAGAGTTTGTAATGTTGTAAAGTAAAGTAAAGGCATTAAAAGTTTGCTAACAAGAAACAGTTGAAGGTTGGACTAAAGCAAAAATTAAGAAGCAATATTTCAGAAAATAGAAAATTTTATCACCAGGTACACAGAATCTACTAGTAGTGTAGTGTAGGATTCATTTAAATTCATGTTTTAATAAACTGTGGAATTGGAATATCATATTTTATATTGACTGAATTATTATTTTATTCATTATTCATGTTACTTCTTCCAACCAAGATTTTTTGTGCTTGTCATCTGATTGGGGCTGTCTGAATTTGGTTTTCTTACAACAGACTTCTTTAATTTTCAATGAATAGTTTCACTAAGTTTGGCATTTGCTATTTAAGATTATCTTCTAATAATCTACATGTAACAAAGAAACTTTACTATTCAGTCCACACTACTTGTCATCTTATTCTCAGTGTATTACATTTCATGCTCATTATGATCTATACTATACACAATTGCGATACTCAATTTGTTTTTTATTTCACCACATCTGGTCTGCAATGTGCTATTATCATCATCTAGTAGTTACTAGTGGAAATCAGTTTCGTAAGCAGATTTTTAAACAACTACAGAACTTACCATGAAAGGAACACTAGGTAGATCATTGCCCTCAACATCCAAGCAAGAATGCAATGCATGCAAAGTACTGCTTGAAAAATTTTCCCTCTTTTTTAATTGTTTCCCTTGAAATTTTGAAAATGATTGTAGTGTAATTATTTGTATAAATAATTTGATTCATTGATTCTTTTTATATACATCAGCTCATTAGATTTTATATATCATAAAATAAAATACTACTTGCCAGTAATTGTTACAGTGTTAAGGGTCCTATTTCATCTTCTTTTGTTTCACTTTTAAAAAGAATGTCCAGGTCTACATAGAGATAGGGCACAAAGCTTGGCTTCGAAGTCCCGAAAACCAGGAACCTGGGAAGACACATGACTGGGTGCTGTTTGTTTGTGGGAAGGACAACCAGGAATGCAATTACGTTGACAAGGTAGGCTTCCGACTTCATGAAACCTTCGAAAATCCGGACAGAGGTAGGTCAAGGTTTCAAGTTTTTATTTTATTCCTTCAATTTTTTGACTAAATTTACTTTGTGGTTCAAGGTTTTGTAATTCTAGTGAGGAGATTCTGTAAAACGTTTTTTTTTAGATAATTTTATTGAATTAAAAACATCCTTCAAAATTCTTATTTTCAGTTGTGAATGAGCCACCATTTGAAATTCGTGAATCTGGTTATGGCAGTTTCTTAGCGACGGTTATTGTGCATTTCAAAGTGAGAGAGGCTCCCGAACTGCATGTGGCGAGTTACTACTACGACTTGACCTTGCCCGCTGAAGGCCAATCACCGATTGGACTCTCGAGATGTGAGAAGGTTACATTCAAATCAGTGTCCATGGATTTTGTTGAGTTGGTACTCAGTGGAGGCGGGGTTAGTGTGGTTGTGTGTTGTACAGTGTGTGTGTGTGTTGTATGGTGTGTGTGTGTGTCTGTGTGAGTATTTGTGTTGTATGGTGGGTTTGTGTGTTTTGTAATGATGTTCTCAAGTTACGGGAGTCTCAACAATGACTTCACATTATTATTTTATTCTGATTGTTCTTTATAGGAATTTTTATGTTAATGGTTTGAGATATTTATTGAGAAATTAGGTTTATTAAACTTGCTTTTAAGCTTTAATGCTTTCATTAAGACTGGTACTACATTGATGATTCTATCATGCAGATCATTGTGTCTGATGAGGTTGCTGATGATGCCCTGGAAAACCAGCAGCCGGCACTCCCTTATTATGTCAGTCATCATTTTATTCAAAAACATTTTGCTTGACATTTTAGTCTTCAGTTTTAGATTATGCTCAAACAATCAAAATAACCAATACGTAAAACTTTTTTATTCATACAGCAAGAAAACCAAATAATTCCATTCGAATCTTTTCTGCCAAATTTCCCAGAAACAACAGCCACCAAAAACAAAAAATCTAAAAAGCAGAACAAAAGCAACAACTGCACACCAACTTCTGATCAAATAGCTATAGAAAAAAGACAACTAGAGAAAAATTTATTCAGTCAAGACATTGTGAAAAAAAGTAAATCCGATTCTAAACCGCATAAGTCTGCAATAACATCTGATCACAGTAAGCACTCCTCCGAGTCAAAAGTGAAGAAGAAATTTGAATCATCGAATTTCAGATCTAGCAACAGTCCGTCACATGTGTCTGCATTAGATTATTCACCTCCTACTGTTAAACAGCAGTCAAAAAAAAACAAAGAAAAGACAGCAAGTGGACCCACTGGTAAGGCGAGTTTTCAATCATATCATAAATCAAGCAGCGTATTAAAAAATTCCAGCTCAAAAAGAAATGAGGAAACACCAAAGAAAGATAATAAACACAAATCAGATTTGCCCAGCAATAAATCGTTTGGTTTGTCGACCTGCAAAGGAAGTGCAATCGACAAATTTCAGAGCAGCTCCAATGATGAAAGTGATGAACAGACTGCAGAAAATGTGCAGACAAGTTATAAAAAGTCTTCTCTGGACAAAAAAAAATTTTTGAAAAAGCAAATAGGCAGCAAATCCATCGCAACCAAGCCAGTATCTCACCTCGAAAGTGCTCATCTCGATTCTGACGCCAAAGAGTCATCATCAAAAAGTAAAAGATCCTCTAATGAATCATCTGCATCTTCTGGACCTGTCGACCACTCAATAATTTACCAGTCTCCTAGATATTCACCCCAGTCTGACACTTCACATTTCTCTGCATTAGGGGATGTTCAATACGTTTCATACATGGGCGAGACTACTAGCGGATTACCCCCTCAAGAACTCATGGAGATACAGGATAGAATCATGAATCTGAAAGATGATGAGGAAGAGGGAATGATTTATCTAAACATTTTCAGAGTTTTCTGCAACAGAAAGGATTTCAGTGAAGATGAAGACATAGAATTTGACTTAACAAAGTGTGACCTTAGATCCATCAATCAAATCAAGCGATTACTCGGCATGTAGAAATCGCTCATTCTACTCAATTTAGAGATTTGGTTTCACGCAAAATATACAAACGCCCGATTACTTTTGCCACTATCAGTCAACATTCATGATAAGAAAATATTTTAAATTAATTTTAATAAGTCCAATGCATTTACTAGTTATTTTTTGGCATTTTCCAAGAGCTACAAACTATATATATTTTATATTAATATACATGGTATATAATTTATTAATATATATATATATGATATATAGATATATATATTTGTATATATAATATATTTGTATTTATTATATATAATATATATATATATATATATATATTCAAAGCAATTTAAGAATGACTGTATCATAATATTCCTTAGCGAGATAAACAACGTTTTATTATTTGTTCCTTCAGATAAATTTTATTTTTATACCTACTACAATGTGCCAGAACATATAGAGACTTAACAATCTATGGACTTGGCGCTTCCGATAGCCTGACTGTAACGCTAGCATCGAAAGTTTCAGTTTCCATCGGTTCAATGCATTATCATGTTTTTATTGTTTTAGTTATTGAAAGATCCATTATAAATATTGAAAAATAAATTATGTTGACCTGTCTGCTTGTAACATTTTCCAATTGTAGTACCCTTGTTTATGTGGGACATGTATATTTTGGCCAGAGTTTATTTCACATTTATCTTTTAATGATAATGAAATAATTATTTATGGAAAATCTGTTATAAAAAATTTCATCTCTCATGGCAGAAATATTAGGTCAATCAATCAATTGATTGATTAGGTGATTGGCTTTTCCTAAATTCTTTTGTAGAACCACGTATTGCACTGCAATCAGCTTACCAACACAATCACATCTCACCGTTTCCACTTCATAATACACACGAGTCTGACCATGAACCAAACTGTTTCAAGATTCGCAAATTCTACTTAATTTTTTTATCATGCACATTTTTCCCCCAAAAAAACGTTAAATGCCATTGCATAAGATTTGTTAAATGCAATATTTAACTTGTACATTATTCTGCATTATTAAGCGATGAACTCAAAAAAAACATATATTTGTGTATCACTGTTTAACTTAAAAATTTGCAAATCAAAATATTCCAATTTGTAAATAAATTTAGAAAAAAAGAAAAAATAAATAAATTGCAAAGAAATGAACATAATTAGATTCTGTTTATATCGTAATGGAAATCATAATTGAAAACACCTGTCAAAAAATATCGTTATATAAAATTAATATTCATTTAAATGTCACTATCTTCACTGGGGAGGATTGTTTGTTGAGTTCTTGAAAAATAATTTTAGAGTTGCAATCAGCATCGCCGAAACCATTGTCATTGTCATCTCCATTGCAAGTCACCTCCAGCTGACTGCATACTTTTGTTTCTAGGTCAGTGTACGTTTTCTGAGATTCCTCATCTTCGTTATCCATGTAACTTTCATCATTTTCACGATCGATTTCTTTATTCTGCAAACTGCTAGAGGTGTTAGATAATAATGGGCAGAGAAAGCCGTTGTTAATGATATATTGGCTGCCATCAGCTGACAGTACCTTACTTCCTTCCAGAGACATGTTATCATCTACTGAATTCACCAGAACCAACTGACCAACTACATCATTTGGTACATCAATTTGTTCTGTAGAATTCTTTGTCCCCATCAACAGTGTACTTAATTTTTTAGTAAATTTTTTTGCATGGTCAACAGCCTTGTTACTATCGTTGTCCATTGCTGTTTCTCCATCCCTTGTTTTAGGATCATTGTGGCTATTGTCTTTTATATGCTTTTTCATTCCGTGACTTTTTGAATTCTGATCCTCGCTGACACTATCATTTCCTTTTATTTCATCACTCAGTACAGACTGACTCAATTCGTCATCTTCTTCACTGTAACTTGCATCTTCATCATCGTCGTTATCATCATCTGATTCTTTTTGATAAACAATTTTGTATTTATTCTTGTCGTAACCAGGTTTTGAGGTTGTAGCAGATTCGTTTAACTTAGTATTGCTGTTATTACTTTTCTTGTGCTTTACATACGGTTTCCTAATCTTTAAAGTTTTACCTTGGATGTGCAATTGTTCGTGAATTTCTAAACTGATCTCCCACCTGAACGTCTCTGCACAAATCCTACATTTGAATGGTTTCTCTTCTGTCATAACACAATCGTATATGGCGTTTTCTGGTTTTTTCTTCAGCTTTTTCCTCATCTGTTCGTCCCTTCGTTGTTTGTGACCTTTTAAAACTTCAAACAAATCCTTGTTCTCTTCAGAGCTTAAAACCTTTTCAACTACACTACCAGACTGTTCATTCTTTGGATCTGAACATTGTGAGATCTGCTGGTGCTCTGGCACGGTTTCAATAGAAACAATAGCCTGGCTCTTATTTGGGTCGTCACTGGGAACTACTTCAATGATCAACTCGACAGGAACTGAAGATGTCGTGCTGTTAGAGTGAGTTGTAGAGGAAGCATTGTTTTGTGGAGCAGGAGGAATTGCACTGTTGTGTCCTGCTATGTGAATTGCATAAGTGAAATCATAATTAAATGTCTTCTTACAAATGTGACATTGAAATATGGATGGAGGTTCAGCTTTTTCTTCTTTTTCTTTTAGATTATCTGTCGTTGAAACTTTTGGGCCATTGGTATGAAAACTCTCATGTTTCTTCAAATTTGTAATCCATGAGAACTTGGCGCCACAGAATTTGCATTTGAAATGTTTGTCGGCTCTATGACTCAACAAATGATGCTTTTCGAGATCTCGTCTTGAACCAAACTTCTCCCCACAGATGTCGCAATGGGGGATTGGTTTGGCATTTTTGTGATTGGCATTCCAATGACGTTTCAATCCTGATTCCGATGCAAAAGGTTTGTTGCAGTATGGACAAATGAAGCCTTCCCTGTGTAAGAACATATGCTTGGCCAGTTGTGTTTTGTTTGCGAATGATTGGAGACACTGTTTGCATTCATTTTTCTTGCTGTTATCAACGACTGAAGTGTTATCTGCCATGTCAAGTGAATCTGAAATATTTAAACAGTTAAAAGTGTGAAATTAAGTTTTTGTTATAAACAAAAATAAATTGTTATAAAAATTTTAAAAAATAACTTCACATATTAGGTGTTAGTTGGTGATAACAGTTTTTAGAACTACCATTGAATTTCTTAGTCAAATGCACCAGGTGAGAAACATTAACAAATCTCACATTTCAAAAAATTCAAGTAATGCATCCAACAACAAAAAATTAACAACATCTACAAACGGTTATTGATAAAATGATCGTTAGAAACTTACTTATGTCAATTGATATATTAATTTTACCTTTTAAAACAAACCACTTCACATCTTAAAAATTTGTGATGTAACAAATCTATTAAAAATTAAAAAATTTGTAATTCTTTATCAACACGACTAGAAATATCTATAGGACTCACAAATAGAAAATTTTATGTAATTAATCAAACTTAAATTATTTACTTCTGGTTACATTAATTTTTGTTAGCTTTTCCAAGGAATGATCATGAAAGTTAAATCAAAAATAAATCATTTAATTAATTTAATAATCATTTAGATAACATTGTTATAATAACAAGAACCAGGAGAAGAGGCTGTATAATTTTGTCTTTTGCCATTTAGTATTTGAAAAAATCAATGCTTAAATCATTACAGAAAGGTTTCTATTAATACTATTTTTTTATAAACAGACATATGTCACACAATGATGTCATCATTTCAAACTTTTGTTGATGGGCAACCCAGCAGCTCAGCCTAGCCAAATCCCACAAAAATTTTAACAATAAAAAAAACTTTAAGCTTCAATATTTCAAGTTGAACCAATAAATTTTAAACAACTTACAATCAATTAAAAGAGTTCCTTTTCTAGTAAAATAAATTTAATTACAATCTTAAATACTACAAAATAAAAGGTCGGCCATTTATTTACACAAGCCAAAGACTATGAATCGTTGGAAGATTTTACTTCTAAAATAAATTCTTGTAATATGATTCAAATTTATGCCCATTCATGTATCAAAATCAACACCGAAATGTTTAATATTTATATAGTTCAATATGAATCAATCAATCGTTCAACCAATGGTTGTGTTTCCAAGCTGGTCTTAAATCGTTTCTCATCTGTTTTCATCTGATTCCCAACTGCTTCTAATTATATGCGTATTATTAATAACTTTTGTTTCTCTAGTCAACTATATGCTGATGATTCTTACATTTATACTTATTTTCCTCCATTTAATTTCAATAGTGTTCTTCATAATCTATCTCTAAGTCTTTCGTCAATTATCGCTTGGTCTGACTCTATGTGTCTTAAACTTAATCCTTCTAAGTTTGAATTAATTTTTTTTAATAAATCTAAACACTCTATTACTATTCCTAATATTATCTTACCTGATTCTAAAACTCTTGATGTCTTTCATAAGTTTCGTAGTCTAGGTTTTATCTTTGATTCTACTATGTCTCTCTTTTCAGATTAATAGTGTTGCTAGAAGCTCTTTCATCTACGTAGAATAAAAAACTTTTGCTTTTTCTTGATGATCCTACTCTTCTCCTTCTTGTTACTTCGTTAGTCTTATCTAGGATTGATTATTGTAACTCGCTCTACTATGGTCTTCCTGACTCTATACTCTATCCTTTAAGTAAAGCTATTAACCCTGCTGCTCGTCTAGTTGCTCGTGCCCCTTTTTTTTCTCATATATCTCCATATCTTGTTCTCTTGCACTGGCTACCTATAAAATATAAAATAATTTTTTAATTTGCACGTTAATGTATAAGTCTCAATCTAATTTATTTCCTAAGTATTTATCAGATATATTAATTGAACCTAAACGCCCCGGTTTACGATCGTCTTCCTGTTCTCGCTTTTTCTTAACTCGTGTTAAACACACTTTTGCCAAATCTGCTTTTGCTTTTTCTGGTCTTTTTCTCTGGAACTCTCTACCTACTTCTTTGACTACTTCTCCATCACTTGCGAAGTTCAGAGCGGATCTCAAGACCCATCTGTTTTCAAAATTCATTGAGGAGCGCTGTTGAACATCGCAGAAATAGCGCTTTATAAGCTAATTGATTGATTGATTGATTGATTGATTGATTGATTGATTGATTGATTGATTGATTGATTGATTGATTGATTGATTGATTGATTGATTGATTGATTGATTGATTGATTGATTGATTGATTGATTGATTGATTGATTGATTGATTGATTGATTGATTGATTGATTGATTGATTGACTGACTGACTGACTGACTGACCGACTGACCGACTGATTGATTGATTGATTGATTGATTGATTGATTGATTGATTGATTGATTGATTGATTGATTGATTGATTGATTGATTGATTGATTGATTGATTGATTGATTGATTGATTGATTGATTGATTGATTGATTGATTGATTGATTGATTGACTGACTGACTGACTGACTGACCGACTGACCGACTGATTGATTGATTGAACACTATTTATTAATTATCTAAGATTCGATGCGCAGGGAACGCAGAGGTTTCACATTATTTTACTTTCTTTTGATACAAACATGGAATTTTAAAATGGAATTGCCCTATCCTATTTTTTCCATTAAACGCTCCACTCCACTTCATATCCATATTTATAACGATGTAGGGCACACCAGCGGGAGATTGTTTCCTAATGAACGGCCAGACGTTTCATTTCGCATCCCTTATATAATTCAATGGTTACAACGTTTCCGAATTGCTATCCACGATGACAAATAGATATTTTACTTGTTATTTTTTGTTAGCCACCATTGTCGATTGTTATCAAAATGCCAGAAAACATAAACTTTTTCAGTCTATTTTCATTTTATTTGACATGTGCAGAGATTAGTGGCGTTGTCATAAATTTTTCTTTGAAGGGCTTGGGTTTTAACAAAATAAGCTGGTCTTTTTTAATAAATTTTCATAATTTGCACTACTTTTATTCAATTTAACCTCTGCCCAATCAAAAATATTTATTGTTGGAGGTATAGGCTGCAGCCTTCAAAGTTCAAAATACCTTATTAACGCTGATTTGATGCAATTGCGTCTGAAATTTCTGATGATAAGAGCACAAAGCAAAATCAGATCTGAAATTTAAATGTGGTTTTGTCGAGGATTGTGGCACAAGAAACATCATCAGCTTCAATTATCTCGGAAGTCTGATTACAAGCAAATGAATATATGTGATAAGTTTAACGTGACTGTCAGACAAAATGGTTAGAGTTGCATTCGTTCTACTATTTTCAGATTAAACAGCTTGCTTTTGATACTGTTGATCATACAATTCTCTTGACACTGCTACGTCATTTTTATAATATTACTGATTCTTGTCTATTTTTGTTTTCTTCTTATCTCTCTAATCGTTTTTCTTCTGTTCTTAATAATTCTTGTATTTGAAACTCCTCTACTTAATTGATCAATCGATAGATCTGATTGATTGATTGATTGATTGATTGATTGATTTCGTGACGTGAAATCTGTACGTCACATCACGAACTTCAGCTAGTTTTTATTTTCATTATCTAATGTGTAACTCGATTTGCTATTTTTATTGCATGCAATTAAAAAATGGTCAAGATTCAAATTTCCCTGCTGCAAATAATATTTTCATGATACAAATTTTAATTCAGTTTGACATTTTTTAATTATTTCCGTTGGTTTTCTCCAGCATTCTTTGTGAGTGGTTTCTTTTTCTCTCGCGTTGTGTTTTTGCCACAACTTGAAAGGTGCCTTTGTCATTCATTCTGCTAGTACACCCCGGCCAGCCCCGTCACTGCCTGCTCTCAGCTGCTGCTGTGTTGCATTTAGGATCTCGTATTATTATTATTATTAATTGCATTTCAAGCGTTTTATTTTGAACTGAATGAAGCAAATTCAAGTTAAAAATGGGTATATTTCAAAATTAATCACCTTTGAGGCTTATTTTATAATTTTTGAACTAATTTTTATAAAATTCGGTAAAAAAATCGAACAAAATAAAAATTTCCCTTATTACCGGATCTTTTGCGGAGCCTCATAATGGCGAACGCGACAATACCACCCACTGCAATTACTACAACAACACTGGCTCCAACTATCACTCCAATGTTCAGGCCACCGTTCTCGTCAGAGGTCAGCGCGCCAGTGCGAAACACAATAAGTGGCTTCAGTATTGCTGTAAAACCATTGGGCATTTGTGGCGATGTGAAACTTCAACATTATAACAAATCACGTTAATTTGGATTTTTCCATCTAACGTCCAAATAATACGTTCACTGATAGTTATAAAAGATTATTTGGATGAAAAAAAATTTTTCCGTTAAAAGAATGATATTATAAACATGGGAAATCTTAAATGTTATTTTGTCACTATCGTGTTTATCGTTGAGAAGAAAAAAGTGTTAATTAGTTTTGAAAAAAAAATTTCTACAGAGTGATAGCGGATCTACAGAGTAGTGACTAAATGAAGTATAAAAATTTGAAATACTCGTCTCGTTGTTAGTGACGTTCGGTGAGAGGGAGCACATGATTGCCATCGTGTTGTTGCGAATCGTCGCCGATCCCTTAGATTTCTTTCGGAATTTAATTTGTAAAATAAGAATTAACAATTGAATTATCTGATGAGATTATGTTAATGATCTGATGGTAAGTTTTTTATAGCACCGTAGTTGAAGTTTTGTTTTCAAAATATGGTGAAATATTTTTGTGAAAATAATAAATTATAGCAAATTGATTTGATTTAATGATGAATTTCAAATGATCAAATGATATCCCATAAGAATTTTATGCATATTTTTGTCCTATTCATAAATCAAAAACATTTTTATAAAGCATTTCGACGGTAAACAAGCTCAAATTGGTTGGATCTATAAACATTTCCCAGATATCCAAACAAAAAAACGAAAAAAAATAATCTTCAGAAGAATGACATATGAAAAAAAGAGATAACTAACAAAGAGTCTATCGCCATTTTCAAGTTTCGTTGTGTTCTTGATGACTTTCCACGGACGCTGTGACGGTGGCAAATCGTCGATCGGGCTCCGAATGTGGAAAACGTAGAGGACCCTGTTTTTCATACCTTTTCTCTTGGTTAGCATGCTGCAAGTGAAGTTGACCATCTGACTGATCTGGTAGGGGCCATCTGGCTCGATTTCCAAAAACAATTTGTCATCTGTACGTGTCATTGTATGAAAACAATTGAATTAATTAGCATTTGCCCAGTTGATTAGCATTTCAATTTTCATAGCCATTACAATGTCAATTCGCTATCTCCCTGCAGAATTTCTTTTTAAAAATTAACTTTTTTCTCTGTTTATTTGAAGTTAAGAATAAAAATTTACATATGTCATCCTTTGTGGCAAATACCAGGAGGACCCTGACGGCGTTGAGGATGAGAATGAGGGGGATGAGTCTGATTAGGAGCATTTCTGAGGCTGTTCTTATTTCTGCGAAACAAGATCAAAATTCCATTTTCCGATGTTTCATTACATTCCTGTTTAGAACATTTTTTTTATTTCAAATGACGTAATGCGTTGCAATAGATAGATAATTAAGTTGTTTTATTTATTTGTGAAACTTTGTTCAATTTGTTTAAATTATTAATTTTTCAATAAAAATATTCACTAATGATGACCCAGCACGAATTATAATATTTAAAAATTAATTATATAATTAATTATAATTTATATTTATTTTGTTTGTTTATTTTTGTGTTTGTTGCCAAAAGGGCTATCTTCCCACCTATTTTTTTCCTTTCTGATTTTAAACCTGGGTATTGTTGATTTCGTATTTCGTTTAGCCTTAACTTTTGTAAATAAGATTTAAATCTGTTAACTATTTTATTGTGTTTTGAATGCTAATTGGATCTTCAAATATTTGTTGCATGTTGGTCGGAATGTTGTGAATTCTTCTGTTTAACTTGGTATTTTTGACATTCTGTGCTAATGTGACGAATGGTATGGTATAATGGTAATGAATTCGGATATTTTTTGTTCAAATTTGGACAAAATTTGCCATCTTTAAAGGTCCATTACACTTTTCCAACGTTCAGAGGAATTAACAACTCGCACATACACCGCATATGAATACATAATAAACGACGCATCATACACGGAGCATATGATAGGTTGGAATATATTCGAACCCGGTTATTGCGAAACAGCGCAAGTCTACTATACTATTAATAAAAAAAAAACTTTTCAAAAAAAAACTTAATCAAAATCATCAAAGTTTAACAGTGAACAAATATGTTTTTAGTTCATTTTTAAATGTTCTAAGAGACAGTCCGGATGATCGCAATGACTGTGGCAAGCTGTTCCACACGGTCGGACCTGCAAAAGAGATACTCCGTGCACCAAACTGCAAGTGTGAAACCGGTATTGTCAACAAATTCATATCATCTGACCGTAGATTAGACGACGCAGACATTTCTTTTAAAATTTATTTACCAGATATTCTGGTGACATCCCGTTCAGTGATTTAAACACAAGTACAGCGATTTTAAAAGTTACTCTTTTATCTATTGTCAACCAGTGTAGTTCCTCCAGGATGGGCGTCACGTGATCAAACTTCATCCTGCCAGTTAACAATTTTGCAGCCTTGTTCTGAATCGATTGAAGAAGAGCGATTTACCTTCTTGGAAGTTTATAAAACAGACTGTTGCAGTAGTCAATTCGCGATGTTATAAAAGCATGAATCAGCGTCACCAGTGCCGATCTATTCAATGAATGTCTGATTCGATACATGTTTCTTAAATAAATATTACTTGATGTATATATCTTCTTAATGTGATCTTTCATCGATAAATTGCTATCAAGTAAAACTCCCAAACGCATGACAAGTGAATCCATGAGAGGAAATAATTTTGATTATATCTGCTGTGTACAAAATAAAGAGACACTGAATTGTTAAACGAAACCTGCTGCGTTCGGTTTGTTAAATACGACTTGAACCATTTATGAGCTGTGTTTGTAATTCATCGTTATGTGGTCTTGCCAGCAAAACATCATGGCTTACACAATCAAAAGCTGCTGACATGTCTAAAAACGATAACAACGATAAGTTCGGGACGTCCATTGCCGAAAACAAACCAGACAAAACATGTAACAATGCTGTTTCAGTAGAATGGAACTGCATATATCCGGATTGATTACAAGGCAGTAGGTTATTTTGCGATAAAAACTTAAAAAAACTTTTAACCACTACACGTTCCATAATTTTTGAAATAAATGGAAGATTCGATATCGGTCTGTGATTATTAACATCATTTACATCACAACCTGTTTTCTTCAAGAAGGGGAGAACCACAGCATGCCTGAAAGAGGAGGAAAATTCACCTAATTGAAGGCAGCAATTAACAAAGCTAGTGAAAAACTTGATGAAAAATTTCAAATACTGTTTTAAGATGAGAGTTGGAATGACATCCTGTGAACTTGTCTTACACGGGGAATTGATTATAATATCTTTCAATTCATCTTCAGTGACCATAGGGAAGGATGAAGAATGATAACAGCATTATGTGGCCCACCATCATCTGTTGATTGAATAGAAACTTTGGTAGACTGAACAATTTTGCTAACTTTGTCAGTGAAAAACTGTAACAAGGGCTGTAATACTAACATCACTATCGAACATTAAACTTTTCTTGTTTCTACACAACACCTTATTAATTGCCTGCCATTTATTTTTCGAGCTTTTGTTGACCTCAATTAAATTCCTCCAATAATAGGAACGTTTGTCAGAATATAATTTGTTTCTTGCTTTCATGGAAGTTATCCAATTATTACGATGATCATCTATCGACAGTTTTCTGAAGATTTTTTCCATTTTTCTACATGTTTGTTTAGCTTTTTTACAATCATGATCTAACCATGGTGCCATACGCTCACCTCTATCATAGATTACTCGAACAGGCACAAATCTATCAACAATACTCTTTAACTCGTTGTTAAACATTGTTAGTTCCTTTTCGACGTCATCACTACAGCATGGTTTAGATACTGGTGAAGTTAAAATAGCACCAATGAATTTTTCCTCATCTACTGTTTTCCATGACCTGACTGATTTCATCACTGTTTTAGGGGCTGGCCGAACAATCATTGTTTCTACTTTTATGAAACTGTGATCCGAAATTATTCCACTAGGATAGATCTTAGCATTAAGTACTGGAAAGTCATGCAAACTGACATCTAAATCCATTGTACCTCCTAGGGTATGTATAGAAACGTTTACATGATTTACTAATTGAAATATATCAAGTATTTCTTTTAAACGAATAGATTGGGGATCAGCAGTTCTCTCAACATGCAAATTAAAGTCACCCATCAATAAAATGTCTGAGTTTAAAATTGTTAAGTACTCCAAGATTGAAACTGTTATTGGAGCTGAGCCAGGTCTGTAAGAGGATAGCTAGCAAGATGAATTGCAAAGAGAAAGACGAAGGGTAATTTGCAATAAAAAGGATTTTTTTACATTTAATATCTAAGTTAACTTTTACTTTAATAACACGTTTGCCGTTCACAACTTTTAATCGCTTATTAAAATAAAATAAATAAAATACTATTTTATTAGTTTCTAAATTAGATTAATTTATCAGCGAAATAATTTTACAAAAATTTCCCAGCATGGCCGGGTCTGCTCTAAAACGTCTCATGGCCGAATATAGACGTCTGTGTAGCCTTTCATTTTCATTTTTTCTTTTTAATTTTAATTATAAATTTTTTAATTTTGTAATGTTCTAAAATAAAAAAAATTAATATTTTATAATTTTTTGAATTAATTTTTATTAAATTATTTAAAATAAGATGAAGTATTATTAAGAAAAATAAACATAATTTTTTGGAAATACATTTTTATAAAATTATTATTATGGTTTTTTAGAAAGTTTGTCAAAAAATCAAATCAATATTTGTTTTTGAAGTTTCAACATATTTGTCATTCAATTTATTTCAATTCTGTATTTTTGTAATGTTTGAAGTTTGACATTTTTAAACATTTTTTTTCCATTAGAACTGACCCTAAACCCACCAGAGGGCATCCTGGCTGGTCCCTCCAATGAAGATAATTTTTTTGAATGGGAGGCACTCATCGCGTCAGTTTAGTTGGCAAACTTCTGTAGCAGTAATTGTAGTACCGTAATATTTTTATGTTTGTTGGATTTGTGAATAATAATTACTTAAGTCTTATTTTTTAATTAAATATACTCAAATGAATAATGTTTTCATTTTAAAAAAAAAGATATATTTACTCACTATTTTAACTTTTTTAAATAAATGCAATTCAAGAATTGATACTTTTGCTTACTCAAACTTAAGTTAAAAGCCCAGTTCAGCATTTAATTGTCATCAATCTTATCACATATTTTTTCATATTTGATTATTCAGATAAACTAAGCTATAACCTTGCAATTCAGTTTTTTAAACTTTTATGTGAAAAATAATTTTCAAGAGGCCCTGAAGGGACATGCTTTGAGGGCGGTGTGTTTCCTGCCCGACTGACATTTCCAAGTGACTACCCACTCAGTCCACCGAAGATGAAGTTCACTTGCAACATATTCCACCCCAACAGTCAGTTCTTATCCATTACTTCTGTTTATGTATTTTATTAGATTTCTGTATTAATGTCAGTTATTTGAAAAAAATGAATATATTATTTTTCATTTTCAGAAATTAATAGTTAATTAATAATTACTCTACTCATTGATAGTTAGTAGTTTAAATAATTTGGTAAATGCATTAATGTTTTTACACATTTTCATTTGTTTGATCATTGGAATAAAAAATTTGATAGACAATTGTGAAATTTTGAAAACGGTTTTCAGATCTTTTTTGGAATAAAAAGTGTGATGAGGATGGATATATCAGCTGTGGAAAGAAAGATTTTTATTTAAATTGAATGGTTAGTGGATATTAATGGAGAAATGTGTGAGACATCGAGGAAAGTCTTGAGATGATAAAATGGAGGAATTTATTCAGATTAAGATTTCAGCACATGATTGAAAAATTTTTAAATCCAAAATCCAAAATAACATAACTCCCAGAAAACAGTTAGAACATAATGTTTAATCTGTCTAGGATGATCAGATGAATTTAATTGAAGTTTCAAATGATGAATAAATTTTAAAACATTATGGAAACATGGATTTTGTATTAGCTTTAAGCATAGGAACTTAAATGGAATACGGAATAGAAAGACATTTAAACAGGATTTAAAGAGGAATTTCCTCATTGTAGTTTTCCCATTTTTAGCTTGACACGGAAGCGGAAGTGACGTTGACTTCACACATCCATTATATTTTCTACAAAGATTGTCATGTGACAGATGAATATTGACTGCAAAGGATTACATAATGACATAAATTTGTATCAAGTTTAGTATCAAGTCAGTATCAAGTTCAAGATCATTTCACATGTTAAAATTTCTCTGAAATCTAGAAGAAAATTTCCAAATTTTAATTTTTTAATCTTTTAAAGCATTGTAACAAAAACTCCACCGCCCTTGCAATTTCAATAAAAACCTTCTTTCCACTGCTGCAATCTCCATCCTTATCACACTTTTTATCCAAAAAAGATTTGAAAATCATCTTCGAAGTTTCACGTTGGTCTATCAATTTTTACGCAGTCTACAAAGATGGCCAGGTTTGCATCTCGATACTGCACGCTCCTGGGGACGATCCCATGGGCTATGAATCCAGTTCGGAGAGGTGGAGTCCCGTGCAAAGTGTCGAGAAGATTTTGCTGTCTGTCGTCAGCATGCTGGCTGGTGCGTCTATCGTTTCTCGCATTTTGTGTGTTTTTTTTATAGATATATTGATTTCTCCTTCAAAGAATTTTTGATAGGTTTGTGTTTGGTTCTAATATTTTCATGAAACTATTTTGTAAGAAGTCTGTTGGTTACACATTTAAATTGCAAATAATGTAATACTGATCTAACATGTGATCCTTTCCTTAAAACCAGTCGTTAAAAAAACTAGACATTAAAAAATTAAGCTGCCTACAAACGCGTTACACCTGTATCATGCATTTGTGTTGTAACTGTATTGCGTGTGTGTGCATGGGTTTGTATGTAGTTGTGTGTATTGTTTGCATTGAATTTTTTAAACATTAGAGATTTTCAAAACAACAAAATAGAGCCGAATGATGAAAGTGCGGCTAATGTTGACGCAGCGAAAGTATGGCGGGAGGATAGGAACAAATTCGACGAGATGGCCAGGAAAACAGTGGAGAAGTCGCTTGGGATCATTTAGCTGGGGCGGGCTGCGCTGTCGGCTTCGTTCTATATTTGTTTCATTGTCCTGTGGTTGTTCCTTGTTCAGTTTTTATGATGTTGTTAGGTTTACTTCTTATTAGTTTTTTTTTTAATTTTAGAATGAATTTTGATCGCTCTTAAAAATTACTTTAAAATGTTGTCTTATTTTTTATTCCGTTGCAAAATTATTTCTGTCAAATAAATGTTATTTTAATTCTAATGAATATCGAACTTTTGAAACACGGCTGTTCAATATAGATTCAAATGTTAATTAAAAAACGTACCGGAGAGACGTTTGATGTTGTCTTTAACTTTACATTCTATAAAGTTAACATTTTTATGATGACTCCACAGGTAATGCGTCTGCCTATTTCCCTTAGCCTCAATTAAGCGTCTATTTATACATTTCGAGATCGGCTTTCGATGTTGTCTTGGCAACTCTGGATATTATGTACGTACGAGTGACCTAGGTACTCGTCTCATCAATGGTACGTACAACACGTGTACATATTTGGAAACGTCAGATTTGACAACAGTTGTGACTTAAACGAAAAAGGTGCTCAACCACGTATGCAAATAGCAGCCAAATCGCAAACAGACACGTACATTCATAAGATTCATGTTTGCTTATGAATGTGCATGCATATGTGTGCTCGCACGTGTTTATACTTTAGCAGACGACTTGGTTAAGAATAAAAATAAAATTAATTAAATAAAAACAAAATTAATGGTAATTCAATGAGGATTGTTATGTTGAAGTTGAATAATGAAATTCGCATTTCTCAAAATTAGCAGCTAAAGTATTGAGCAATATTATTTTTAAACTCATAAGGAAATGAAACTAAATTTTAAACGTTTTCTAGCCCAATATTACGTAACGCAGTATAATATACACCCAGCCTATGGAAATGGTGCGAATTACATACTTTAATGAAATATTTTCCTAATTAACAGCGGATTAAAATTAGGTAAATACATTTATCCGATCTCTTTTGTTTTTTCGCAATCTATTTTTTGATATCTCTTTCGGGGAAATCGATAAAATTCAGATGCATTTCGTTTTTGAAGGTAAATAAATTAAGCGATCAGCAATTGAATATATTTATTAATGCCGATCGTGCTTTTTTAAGAAATAAAACAATGAAATCACGAAACGCTAAAATTTATTGAATTGCATATTGAAACGTAGGTATCTGACTTTTTTAACCTTTAAATATTATAAACTCTGGCAGTAACATGTTCGTTCACGCTGTCTCGGATAATTACGATTGAACGACAAGAACTAATGTAGGAAGCACGTATGTCGGTATCGATTGAGCGGAGCTTTTGCCGTGTAAATAAAGAAAGAAATTGGAAATATTCCCTATAATTACATTGCATCTGTTCAGAACACTCAATAAATATAGAAGGTCACGCTTCTTTCACGTTTTTATTAATAGTTTTAGGAACATAATATAAAAAAACTTTTTTCTGAGGGTGTGATATAAAGAAATTTATAAACTAATCTAATCTATTTTATCTTGATAATTTAGAAACTGTTTAATGGCTGATTATATCAATTTGTCGTCTTTTGCTTGGCTATCATTATTTTTGATTAATATTTCTTATCGTCAAAGTTTGTTCTGCTTAGCCAGATGTTTCGTGAGACGTTTGAACTGCCGGCAAAAAGATGAATGTTGTTGTGATGAGCCATCGATGCAAACTACATTCAACGACATACCATCCAGCAGAGCGTTTGTTTCATGTTCCTGGACCTGCTCCAACAACAGCCAGTGTCTGGCTTTCAATTTCAACCAGAATTCAAAATTATGCCAAATGTTCCATAAGAAATCATTGAAGTGTTTTCAGCGAAAAGACGACTGTTTTCATATGTCTTTAAAAGGTTAAATAGTTTTTCAATTTTTGTTATAAATTATTTTTAAAATGGTAAATGCTTATTTAGTTGTAATTAATGTCAATCAGGTAAATCCGATCGCCAGTTTAACATAAGGGCAGACGACAAAATAGTTTCATTATATTTCGATGGAGTGCCCCAAAAGGAACTGCCAAACTGGGACGCTCCTCTCGTATACAACTCGCACTCACTCCCGTACGATGTTCAAGTTGTTGCTGTCCATGCTACCAACTCAATCAAAGAAAGTCCGTCTAGCAATACATCAAATGTTCATATAAATAAAGTATAATATAACTTTTCAATACTTTTTTGTGAGAGAAATTTGTATGTAAAGGAGTTTTAAAAAAACATCCAAATCCGGTTTAATTAACTAATTCTTCTTTCTTGTGCTCTATCATTTCAGTACATTGGCGATGATCGGCCTCCACAAAACCCGATTTTTAACACTGTAGTAGTTGGAATGTGGTGATATTCAACAATTGACACAAGGACTTCACGGATGTTATTCACTGTTGACCGCGATCTCTTTTCCCTGCAATCTTTCCAGTAGTTGTTGAATTTTCCATTGCTTCCCTCCGCATGATGTGACCACAAAACTTTAACTGCCCCCTCGGATTATCAGTAGAAATTTCCTTTTTTCATAACCGGACTGTTTTAATACACCCTCATTGGAGGTGTGAGAAGTCCAACTAATTTTCATAATTTTTCTCAAAAACCACATCTTAGCAGCGTTAATCTTTTTTTCCCATTTCTTTAAAAATTGTCCAGGACTCGGAGCCGTAAGTTAGCACAGGAAAAATGTAACACCCTAACAATTTTAATTTTGTTGATATTTTGATTATACTGTTGGTGGGGATGTTTTTCATTTTAGAATATGCATCTTTCGCCATAGCTATCTTTCGTGTGATATCCACATTACATTTATAACCTGACTTGTTTTACCTGTTTACCATTAATGATTATGTAGCAGATCGGGGCGATTTTGCTTTTACTGATAACCATGCACTCTGTTTTGTTGATGTTAATTCGCAAGCTTTTTTTTTTCATTTCCAAAAACCAGTTTGGAAGCAATTGTATGCAGTTTCTGCTAGAAGAGCTGTATCATCAGCTAATCTTACATTGTTTATATTCACACCTCAATGGATATTCTAGGTAGATCTCTATTTTTCTTATGGTGATATCACTATAGAGACTGTACAGGTCTGAAGAGAATACACAGCCTTGCTTAACACCTTTCTTTATTTTGACAAAACTTGTCATCTTGTTACCAATTTTCATCGCTGCCCTTTGATACCAATAGAGGTTTTTGATAACTCTCGTTTCTTTCCATCAATGTCATCAAGATCACTGTAAAAAGCATCAAGGTTTTCTTCACTGTTTTCACACGTTGGCGTATAAACTGAAATAACAGCTAGGTTGAAAGATTTTGCATGTATTTTGACCAACAAAACTTTATCCGACACCGCCCAGAAACCTTCTAAGTGTTTAGACATTTCTTTGTTCAAAAGTACACCTACCCCTCCTACGTTGATTTACTTCCAGAGTTGTTAAATTTACCTTTTTCAAATGTAATGACATCTGATTTTTTCCACCAATAATAAGATTATTATAAATAATCAATTATTGAATCAACAAATAACCTTAAATCAAAATATGTTCGTATTAAAAAATTTAATCGGCTTAGAATACATCGAAGCGTTCAGTGATGATGGTGCCATCGCGTCGAATACAACATGGAAATGTTCTACAACATCTCCAGCCCTGGATTCCAACAACAACAACTGGTATGACGTGCATTATGATGATGCAAGTTGGTCAGCTGCCATGGTTCAAGAGTCCCACAGCTTTTTAGCAAAATCGATCAAATTTTGGTCGGAAGGTAACAAGGAAGCCTACTGCAGAACCAGAATCTGTGGTTAACAAGAGATATTCATGTGCCACTATGGCTCGTGCTTGAAACATTTTGTTATATATTCTTATTTTAAAATTATTAAAGTTTTTACAAAATTATAATGCATTTTTCCTATTTGAAATAATTAATAATTGAAATTATTTTCATATAAAACCTCAACATCTGGTTCAACTTTTGAGTTAACGTTATTACCGACAATGTTTAATATTCTTGTTTTGCACCAAACCTTCCATAAAATTTTTTCAACTATCTTGTTATCAGATTATCTTGCTATATTTTCTAGATTTCATACATATTGCTAATGTATATATATATATATTTATATTTTTATAGATATATATTTTCATTATTTCAAATTAATGAATCAATATTTCAACATATGAATGTGAGTTTTTAAACAAGTTGTGACCATCAAACGCTAATTAATATTTTTTCTTCAAAAAAATTCGTACTTTGATGTATCTTACGTAATAATAAACTTTCACAAAATGTTCACAATTGTCTCATTACTTATTTGTAGATAATTTTCACTTCGCTAAAACCAAACTAATAAACCCTAACTTAAAAAAAGAAAGAAAGGAGTGAATGAAAGAATACATTTTTGTCATCAGCTGTAAAATTTAGAAAGTGTATTTTAAAAAGAAAGGCAAAACTTTTCAAAAATATTGAGCAGACAATGACCAAATGTTTTTCATAAATCAATGGTAAAAACGCCAACAATAGCTGCATGTGAAGTGTTGAAGTTTGAAAAGATGATAACCATTGTACGACATCATCAAAACCAGATAAGCGTTGGATGAGTACGTATTTAATTCAACATTTTGTTTAGGTTAGGTTTATTTATAAAAAAAAAAAACAAAAATTAGACATATGAAAGAATTGCTAAAATAGAATATAAACCCTTTATTCATTCACAACTAGATTTACTCAATAAGGGATTCAACCATTACCTTAAATACGTACATATTACACATATTAAAAAAATATTTTGAAGAATAAACCCCAGAATTTCATGATTTTACATTTCTTGCATTATTTTAATACAGAAAATTGTTAAACATCCGATGTTGTTTTAAGCAGCGATTATTGGAACAGTCAACAATATAGGATGATGTATTCTAACGAGCACGCAAATAACATGTTCGTTCACATTGCTGGCGCTAGTTTGCATGTGCTTATTCTGTCTTTCACTGTTTTCTTCTATGTCATTTCGACATTCCGATAGGCAAAAGCACAGATTATACAAAATAAAAAACCCCAAAATTTTCAATATGAATTACTTATCTTAATTTTATTTAACTGTTTTTCTGGGAGCCATGTTTTGAAAATTATCAAATTATTAGAAACTGAAAATGCTCATTGGTTGCAAAGTTGCATGTAAGGTATTCATATTTCTGCGTTTGATAGCTCAGTCAAAAATTAATAAAACTAAATAAGATTAACTAAATTTAAATTATATCATCATATAAAAGATAATTTTTTTTAAATAATTGAGACATATTCTGATAATGCTTGTTCTCTTCTTTGATGTTACACTAATTACACTGCAGTAACAATTGTTACATGGCAACTAAATAGTTCGTATTAAATATTATAATGTTATTATTTCATTTGTAGATTCTATTGTATGGCTGACTGCTGTACAGCAAGTCAATGTTGAGGAACTCGATGAACCAAATTTTATTAAATCTTGCAAACTGCTTGCAGCAAACATGATGACTATATACATGTTTATTATTCGATATGTAAACACATAACGTGAAAACCGATTAGAGACAGTTTTGATGTTACCCATTAAAAGAAAATTATTTCCTGATGAATGTCTTCAAAAGTATGATAAAAATTAACTAAAGATGAGATGGCAGATGAAATGGAACAAATGGGCTGTGTGTGCCAGCGTGTTCGTCATCACAATAACGAGGACAGGACCCGTGTTCAGCTTTGGATTTTTCGTAGCGGAGTTCTATAAGATGTACCAAGTTAATATGGCAACTCTGAGTTAGATATGTATTCAATTACACATGTTTTTTAATGTGCTTAATTTTGTATCTGTGCAATGTAGTTATTAGCCCTAATTTAATCTATCAACAAATTTGTTATATCTTATAACCGAAAATTAATTTGGAAATTCTACAATAAATACATTAATCGCTATCAAACAGCATGGATCTCTGTTATGGCAGCTGGAATGTGTGGCATTCTATCTCCCATTCCCGTTTACGTCCTCAAATATTTCAACAAGCACGGATACATCGGATGTTGTACATTCGGGATAGTGACGCAATCAGTTTGTTTGTTCCTATCGGCTCTCGTCAAGGATGTTCGTTGGATGTTTCTAACGTTTGGTTTGATGTACGGGGTTGCGTATTGTTTCGCTCACATGTCTTCCTGTCTTTATCTGAGCGAAATTTTTCCAACTGGACAGAAATATCACATTATCGCTACTGCCACTATCTGGGGCGGATATGCAACAGGTTCTGAAGTTATTGCTGTTGAATGTTTTCAAGTTTACTTTGAACGACTTGTTTAAATTCAAAAAAAATTTTTTTATAGCCATATTATCATTCTGCTAATATGCTCAATCATATCAAGTTATTAAAAATAACTAACGATTAAAATAAATGAAAATTTTAGGGCAAATTTTATACAATTTATTGGTGGCCTGGCTGTTACAAATAATGTCTTGGGCAAATGTTTTCATTATCTTAGGTGCGATAAACTTGTTTCTGGGACTTTTGTGTGTTTCGTCGTTTCTGTTGAAGGTATGTAATGCTTTTGATGGCTATATTTATTTATATCAAGTTTACGCATTGCATACGTCCATATGCAGAATGATATCAGTGAAAGTTCTTTTTCATACTCAACACTGAACGAACAAGTATTGGAGAATAATAATAATGAGCAAATCAATCAAATCGACAAAACGGAAAACAATCCAAACTCCAGAGAAACTATTCAGAGTAACAAGCGCAACGATATTCTTCAATGGTTGAAAATAATATTTTGGCTCGTGGGAACAATGTTTAGCAACGTGATAATGATGGCCCTACCCGGAAGTTTCGTGAGATAAATTCATATTTTACGTTGTTCAGTGTTAAATTGCAATAAACAATTTCAGGCTTATTATATCATAACAGTTGGATTCACTGAAACGGAAGCGTCATACATTTTAATAGCACCATGTCTTGCTGAAATTGCTGTTTACATATTGGGGGCAGTGATTGGAGAACGTTTCAAACACAATCTCATCTATTCTAATCTTATTTCTTCTTTGATGGCTTTTGCAGTTTTCATACTTTGGTCAATATTTTACACAAATAAGATAGTGGCGATCGTCATGGTGATCAGTAAGTATTTATCATATTTATTGTTTTTATTATGAGCGCCCTATGCATAGCGTCAGAGGCGCCCGGATGAACAAGTGTCAGCACGGCCGCCAAAGGCCTGTTCAAACAGATGCTGCTTCAATCGCTTTTTAAACATTTCTATTGATGATTGTTGACGGATGATGAGTGGCAAACTGTTCCATATTGATGGTGAGCAATCTGAGAAGTCTTTATTGGCGAGAGCTGATGTATTGACTGGTTGATGCAGTTGCAATGAAGACGGCAGACGAAGTGATGCCGATGATTAACAGACGAGCGTGAAGATATGATGGCTGAGATGTGTTGAGTGTTTTATACGTGATGACAGCTATTTTATACTTAATGCGTTGATGAATCGGCAGCCAGTGCAGGTGAGCAAGAGATGTTGAACTAGAAGATGAACGAGGTAATTCTAAAACAAATTTGGCTAATCTGTTTTGAATGATCTGAAGAGAGAAAATTAGATACGCCCGGGTGCCATATAGCAGAGAGTTGCAGTAGTCAAGGCGAGATAACACAAGGCAGCGTGCTAGCGTGGAGGTCATTTCGACTGTGAGAAAAGATCGAATATGGCGAATAGACCAAATAATGTAATCACATATTTTGATGAGAGTAGATATCAAAAATTTACGATAAAGAGTTTATATAATTGTGTGTCTGAAAACTGCTCAATTTATCCTATTTATGTTTATTCATCTAAAACATTATTCCAATTCGTTTAGTAAAATTTTATTTATGAATCATTTTTTAGCTACTACAAATGTCATTTTGTACATTTTTGTTTAATATTGATATTATTATGTTTTGGTTGGCCATACAAGCTCTTGAGGCTTCTGATTCTTCCTGATTTTTGCTGAAAAAATATTTTAATGAAATTTGAATCGCATCCAACTAAACAACATTTACAGTGTATGGTCTGATAGTTGGCATCATATTTGTATACATCTATCCGGCAAGTGTTCAGGTCATGGAGCTTCCATTGAGCACTGCTTGGTACTTGACAGCCATTTTCAGTGGCATCGGAATTTTGATGGGACCTGTCTTTTCTGGGAACATTTTTGATATCAGGCAATCATATTCTGATATGTTCCTGGCTCTCGGGATACTAGGATTAAGTAGCCTCATAACCTACAGTAGCATAATTATTTTTGAATTTTTGAAAAGTACATGAAATCAAGAATCAATTTGATATTTATTACAAAATTTGTTCATCAATTATAAATTTTTGAATAAATTTTTTTAGCATTCAAATTTTGACAAAAACTAATGAGTTGATATTCCAAGAAATCCAGATAACTAATCAAAAACATATCTTGCTCAATTATTACTGATTCATTTGAATCTTATTAAATGAGTTTTGACTTGTTAAAGATAGTTCACAAATTTTTTTGCCTGTCTTAACAACGTCATTAAAAATCATTTGCCAAAATAAATAAATAAATAAAATAAATAAATATGAATAATTTACAATAAAAGGCATAAAATTACTACTTCTATTGCAAATGTTAATACCACATAAATTCTGTCCTTTAATATCCGACTCTAGCATATAAAAAAACTGTCTAGAAATTTTTCCTTATTTTCTTGCTTATGTCACTGTTACAAATGTTTATTAACATAACACAATATAACATTACAAAATATTTTATAGTGATCCAAAAAGACTGAGTCTGTGACAGGACCACTCTGAGACTTTTTTAAATATCCTATTTTTGCCAAGTTTGCTTTAAAGTTATTAGTTGTTTTTTCGCATATTATTTCATCTCCCAGTTTGTTCCACTCGTTGAAAACTCTGCAGCTGAAAAATATTTGCTTCATCGATCCTGAGCTTTTTTTAAAGATTATATGTTTATGCCCCCTTGTTCTACCGTTCATTTTAAGTTCAACAAATTTCGCTAATTCTAAATCTCCTTCATAGTGATGATTTTGTACGCATGCATCAAATCTCCACTTGTTCTTCTTTTTTCTAATGTTGTCAAACAACAAACTTTTAATATGTCTTCATTTGGCATACCGCGACAGCCCTTTATCATTCTTGTGCCATCCTTTAAATATTCTCAAGCATATGTCTGCATTTTAGTTGCCTCGATGCATTTCCACGCTACCTTACCATTCCGATGGATTATCACCTCATGACCCTTTTCCTCTTCAACATTTTTAGTGGTGTTTTCCTAGTTTGAATACGTTTTTCTTGTTGGTGGCTCCCATATGTATGACTGCGCATTTGTCGGTATGCAAATCTGTCAATCCTCAGCTCATTTGCATATTTTTCACAGATCGCATGATGGAATTTAAATATATTCATCGTGGTCTTCAACGGCACATAATTTAGTGTCATCTGCAAATTTTGAAATTTTAAACTTTATTCCTAGATAAATATCATTAATGTATATTACTAATAGCAAAGGTCCTAATACGGATCCTTGAGGAACCCTACTCGTAACATTGCCTCAGTTTCAAAAGTTTATAACAATACGAACTTTTTGGCATCTATCTTGTAACCCGTTAGAAACACACTTAAGTGTGCTTGCTGTGATTCCACTTGTCTCTAAATTTAAGGCCAAACGTTTATGCGGTACTTTATTGAAAACCTTAGCAAAATCTAAGTACACAATATCCACTGCTTTCTTTTTGTCAAAATTTTCAGATACCTTTTGAAAAAAGTCAAGCAAATTTGTTAGGCACGAACGCTCTTCCATAAATCCATGTTGGCCCTTGTATATGATATCTTTTTAATTATTCTTTCGAGTATCTTGTAAGGATAATTGGTTCATAATTTCTTGGGTTGCAACGATCTCCTTTCTTAAAGAGTGGCACTATGATTGCATTATTCCAATCGGATGGTATTTCACCCGTTGCCAACGATTTATTGAAAAGTGTTAACAGTTTTTCCTCAATGTCCTCATATTTTTCAGAAATGCTGAATTGAGGCCGTTGCTTCTGGGGCTTTTATCTTTTTTAGTTTTTGTAGTTCATCGACCATCTGTTGTTTCGTCATTGTAGCATCATCTAAGACAATCATTTCATTTCCATTCAAGTTAAATTGCAAAGATGTAAAGATCTCCCTTGTAAATACAAAACTTAAATAAGAGTTAAGTATGTCTGATATTTTTTGATGGTCATCAGTAACGACACCATTCTCAGTTCGTCGTACAAAATATAAATGGCGCGAAGACAACGTTCCAACATCCACACAAAAAAAAATCTCGACTGCCGAAATCCAAAAATAAACCGGAAGAAAAGGCAAAATGTATTTATTAGATACACTAACTAAATATAAATACAACTGTTAAATACAAAATATACTTATAAGGCACACAAGTAGCACCAATTAAGGAAATGAAGTGCCGTTGAAAATTTAAATAACAGTAATATATAATAAATATATAGCCTAGTTAGCTCAGTCAGTAGGAGTGCCATGTCTCGCGCTGCTATTACGCTTTAGTATGGTTCGAATACTGTTTGTCCCAAACTCAAAAACCATCAAACGCAAATGGTGTATGCGTGGGCATACGTAATGTATACGTGCGTCGTGTGTTGTGGATGGTACAGCCTTCGGGGCACGAAAGTTTAACTACTAGTATGGAATAACATGTAAGCAGCTTTGCATTTGACAGAGCTGTATTATAAAGAATAAACAAATATATATGTTGGGAAACTAATTATCTTGGTGTATTTTTGTAATACATATAGCCTAATGAAATGTAGATGCGAATAAATAATTGAAGTATAACTAATTTATTTTGATGACAAAAAATGGTAAACAAACCGTGAAGCACATGGCATTGCATCACAAAGCATCTTGCTTTATAATTTTCGTCTGTTAGGCTCCTAACGGACTCAACATTCTTACTTTAAAACTTGCTTTAAGAAGAGTTTCAATGATTAACACGCGAACGCAATGTACTTACAAATACAGGCTTAAAATAGATTTCGAAATGTGGTAAAGTTTTATTAATTTTAATTCATAAAAAATTTGACTCGCACGATTGCTTCTGAATGATTAATGTAAAATACAATCGGTCTTTCATTGCGCGAACAATGAACGTTGGTAATTCACAGTTGGTAATTTATGTCACATCGTACGATGTGACATAAATAACTGACCATCCTCCATCTTACTAAGCGAAAGATGGAGCCACAAAACTTTCCCTTTAATTTTGAATGAAATCTTTTTCCAAAATTAATGGACCCTTTGTTATTAAATTGTTACATTAAATTTATCGTTTTGGGATTGTGTTAAATTCAATAAATAAACATGAGATGTTGTAGAAAGCAATAGGATCGATTAATATTGTTATTATACGTGTGTATGTGTGAGAATGTATGCGTGATTTAGTGAATGATTGCTCGTGACAGAGTAGTAAAAATTTCGACGAATGAAAAGTATATAAATTCCAACTTTTAACTCAGAAATTGAAAAAGCTGAAAATATTATTTTTAGAGAAGAATTAGACTCAGGTCGAAAATAAAGTTAAAGAGACGATGTTGAAGCAATTGTTCGCTCTCCTGTTCCTCTCTGTTTGCTGTTCAGTTGTTGAGGGTTCACTTATCTCCGACTGCAAATGTGAGTTCACATTTTTACATCATTATTATTTTTATTACCAAATTTGAATTTCAGACAAACACATCAAGAATCCAATTTAAGCATTGAATTTCAAATAATCAAATTTGTCATTTCAGCCGTACAACTCACCTCACACTCTAACATTATGTCAAATACGCTCTCCTGTTATTACTTAAATTTGACGAAATAAAATTTTTACAATTTAGTTATAAAAGATTTTTAATTGTATGGCCACGGTTAAAACGTTCAATGGTTTTGTTTAAAAAAAAACAAATTTCAATCAAATTTATTCAAAAATTACTTGATAATTAAATAACTAAAATTTCAAAGCTAAAAGCATCCGGTGCTCAACAGTGGCCGAGTTATTGAACTCGAAGATGTGCGACCAGTACTGCAGGGTTTGTTGGGACGCCGATAGTGGCAGCTGCGTCCCCGCGGACACCTCCTGCATCAAAATCCTGCCGACCTTCAAGAGATGTGAGTGCGTCAACAAGCACAGAAAGAGAATCAGGTGGTGGAATCCTATGTGCTGGCTCTAAATGGAACATGAGATGCATGCACTCATTTGAGAATGTTTTAAAACGTTTATTTATTTTAAATATTTTAAAAGTTTATTTAACAACGTTTTAACTTCAGACAAGCATTTCTTTAAAATTTGTTTTTCAAAAGACTTTTATTTTTAAAATTTAATTTTCAAAAAACTTCTATTTTTTAAAATTCTTCGTCCAATAAATTACTTGTAACTTAGTTTCGCTAGAAGTATTTTATAAACGTTTTTCGAAAAAGTTAAATATTGGTGGAAAGATTTCAGACTTTATACGAGCAGATTCCCCGAAACGTCAAACGTCTCAAACTTTGGAGGTGGACTACAACTAGACATTTCAAAACAAGACAACCATTTTTTAAAACTAGCAATTAATTAATTAATCAAGCAATTAATAAATTAGACATTTATAAACAAGTCAACCATTTTTTAAAACTAGCAATCAATTAGTTAATCAAGTAATTGAAGAATTTCCAAAGAGCCGTTTCAGCAATATTTAACAGCAGGGTTTTGAGATTCTTCATAAACTTCTTAAGTGATGGAGAAGTAGATAGAAAAAATAAATGGTTTTATAAAAAAAAGGACCAGAAAAGCAAAAGCAGATTCAATACGAGAGTGTTCAGCAGGAATTAAAAAAGAGGGATCAGTAAGACGATCTTACACAAGATGCTTAGGTTCAGTTGAATTTGTTGAAAGGTATCTCGGAATTAGGCTAGATTGAGATTTGTATTGTAACGCACAAACTTTAAAAAACATTCGTTAAACCATTATTAACTTGTACATTCTAGCGTTGAGGAAGTTGAATATTTATTGTATAGTAGCGCGCAATTTTTTTTACACATTCATTAAACCATTATTAACTTGTACATTCTAGCGTTGAGGAAGTTGAATATTAATGCTTTCGCGCATGTTTCCCAAAAACAAATTTTTCTCAAAATATTTAACTTTAATCATTGTCTTTTTAACAACCTGAAACATTCGTTTGACTTTCGTTAAATAATTTTAGCATTTCTTCAGATTTAAACTTGGCGGTTTTAGTTTGTAACTACCAATGGTATCATATTATATTTTATTATGAATATGAAATGTTTCTGACACGTTACATTACATGACTATGGCATTAAAATTGATATACCTTAAAATAAATATTTATGACACATTAAATTAATTTTAATTAATTATTCAATTAATTTATCATATATGAGAATGGGGATTTCTTTTTTTCTCTTTTTTGTATAGCCCAACATACTTGTTTTCTCTGTCATCTTGTCATGACTTATCAATTTTAATCAACTCCTAGCAGGCTGACATTTTCAGGACTGACGTTTTTTTTTAGAATATGCTATCCAATGCATAGTAAACAGACTTAAATTAATTAATTAAATAGTTAATCAATTAATCATATTAATACATGCTAAACAGTGGCGGACCTAGGAAAGCCAAATTTTTTTTAATTTTTTGACAAATTTTGACGGAGTGGGCAAGATCTGTGTTAGTGTAGCCAAAATAAGACTGGCGACTTTTTTTGGTCGATTTTCTCAATTTCCTACATGAAAAAAAGTTTTTTTTGTGCAAAGACTAAGTTATACTGACTTTTAATAATGATACTGCTCAAACCGGGGTTGGTCATCCGGCCCCTCTCTATGATTACGTGCTTATATACAGTTCAACTCTATTGACACTGTTTTTGATAATTCCTTCTGATATATTTTTATTTGTATTTGTTTGGCAAGGGACTATGCCCGTATTACTTAAAATAATAATAATAATGATAATAATAATAATAAATTAGCCGGCATTTATTTTGGCGTATTTTTTGTGCAAAAACTATCTGCAACATCATTTCGTCGCGGCCAAAGTTTAATTTAAATAAAAATTCAGTTGTTAGCAGTTCATTCAAAAACATCTGGCGACTCCAATCGAAGTTTGTTCTAATCTTCTCATATCAGCATTTTCGTTCTATTTATTGAATACCTATCATGTAACTTGTGAAAGTGTTGCAGGCAGCATGTAATTTTAACAGGGCACAATTTGTTAACCCTGTACTGACAGTCATGTTCCTAAATAATTTTTCATGCTTGACGTCATAAAAATATGGAGTTGTGACTATTTTTCATTCAAATAATATAAAATGTTTGATTTAATAATGAAGTAAACAATATAAAGAATTAACTAATAAAATTAAAAAACTAAAGGTACGTGGTTGTACTGAATGGAAGAAAAACCATACACGAAGCGTTAGTGAAGCATTCGCTCAACTTTTCAAGCCGACCATTGTTATACTTGGATGGCATTGTAAATCCTAATCGTTCCGGTTAGTATACAGTTAAAAATAATTTAATTATTTCAAATGAACTTGATTTTAATGAATATTTTATCTTTAATGTTTGAAGGAATATTGAAATACCCGTACGATGACCATTTCAAAACGCACCACAAAATTAGTCTCAACATTTTGAAACATTTTGGGTTCAGACAAGGAATCATGGAATCGAGAATCAAAATTGAGGTAGAAGATTTAGTGGAAAGAATTAAAAATAAAAATGGCCAAGCGTTTAATCCGTCGTTTGAAATAACTGCTGCAGTTTCAAATGTGATATGCAGCATAATTTTTGGAAAGGGCTGGTCTAAAGATGACCCTGAATTTCATAAAGGACTCAAAATTCTTCATTCAATGATTTCCGGATCCGATGACGTCTTAATTATTAACTTTTTCCCAGTTTTCAGGTATCTCAATTATTATAAGAAATTCGTAAACCACGAAAAAGAACTATTTAATAATTGGGATTGTTACATCGAGAAAGTTATTTACAGAGTTTTGAACAATAAAAAATTTGAAAACTTTTGCACCATGTATTTAGAGGAGACCAATAACTCCAATAAGGATATATTTGAGAAAGACCAGTTCACAAACACGATACGAGACCTTTTCATAGCAGGAACGGAAACAACGGCCACAACGCTTCTGTGGCTGATCCTCATTATGGCCAACAATCCAGATGTTCAGAAGAAAGTTCAAGAAGAGATGGACAGAGTGGTTGGTTCAAAAAGACTTTCATCACTTGAAGACAAGCCAAATCTTCCTATAACTGAAGCATTCATATTGGAGTTGATGAGGTTCAAGACGTTGGTACCCTTGGCTCTTCCTCACTGGACTATCAAAGAAACCGTGATAGATGGGCTCTTGATTCCTAAAAATGTCATGGTTAGGTGCTGCTAATTGTTTGAAAGATGCGAAATATATATATTTGTAAAAAATTATGTTAATTTTTTTGAAAAGGTGTTGCCTAATATATACAGCGCTCACATGAGTCCGACAGACTGGGAGGAGCCTGAGAAATTTAAAATTGAAAGATTTTTGAACGAAGATGAAACGCAAGTTATCAAAAGAGATGCAATTATTCCATTTTTTCTGGGTGGGTTATAATTGAATCGTTTGCTTGTATAATTTTGTTTACAAGTACAATCATAAGGCTATTTTTCAATTACAATATAGTAACGCAGTGTATAACAAACTCGTTCTAACAAGAAAACGAGCATGCTTAGGGGAAATTCTCGCAAAGCAAGAAATATTTTTATTTGCCGTGACCCTCTTGCAAAAGTTTAAAATGTTACCGAAGGAAGATGAAGTAAGGGGAATCACCACATCACCGTCTCCATTCGAAGCCAGACTGGTTTATAGGGATTGAAAAAATCAACTAATTGACATTATCATTTCAAGAAGAATTTGAGTATTGTTAACAAATAAAATGTTGAAACAGTTCAAAAATATTGTCTAATTTAGTATTTCCATTAAAACACCTGTAAAAGATATGTTGAAACTGTCAAATTTTAAACGTTATATTTCAAGTGTTAGCCACTTATTGCAATTTATATATAAATTTTTTCTATTTTTCGTTATAAGTTTATTAATAAATTTTTAAAAAATGTAGTCAGTTTGTTGGTACTCTTTCTCAAATGTTAAACAAAATACGTTCTTACCAGAATTTAAAAAGTGAAATACATAAGTAGCGTTTAATTTCAATTTTAAATTCTAAATACAGTGCAACTCGAACATTTCGGCTGTTACAACAATATATACGTGTGTTTTTTTGGTTAACGAGTTGGAAACTCATTCTGTTCAGTAAGAACTGGTCTTCGACCAGAAAAACTTTGATATTCTGGAAACAAACCTTCGCAGTTATCATAAACATATTTACATGCTAGAGATTTTAAAATTTTATAAATTTAAAAATCTCAACGTTCAATGAGTCTTTTGTTGTCATCAATTTATGTCTTCGTACTGGTCAATATTTTTCACTGCTGAAGAAGAATGCCGTACGTTCTCATTGAAAGAAGTAAATCAGTTTGGTATTTGAGATTCTGGATCATGGCATTTGCATTGACGAGTTGCAAAAAGATCTGGTTTTGTTATTGTTCTTTTGTAGCGGCAAGCCGGTTTTGAACAATTCAAAAAATTATTTTTACAATTTAAGGTTTGAATAAAATTAATAGGTGTTCACTAATAAATTGTATCTAATAAGTTATTTATTTGGTTAAAATTAAGTAAATTTTATTTTTAGTACATTATTTAAATTAACTAAACACCAGCAGTTATCAACCATGTTCATTAAATTGATTTAACAAATTTTGAATTTTTTTTTGTTTTTTTCTGTTTTGTTTTTTGAAGTTTCATTCTTTTTATAGAAATTTATATTTTACATAATATAAAATTATGCATCATATATTGACTATTAAAATTTATCTCAGTGCAGCATCTGTTATATGCTTATTTTTTGCTTTCGAATTATGCAAATATATTTTCGTCAAATAAATATGCCCACCTGGTGCAAGTTTTAGTTGAAAATTTTTCCCAACATGCATGAGCGTCAGATTTCAAAATTTTAAGCCGATCAAAAATAACTGTAAGTGGTTTTATTTTATAGAAAAATGTAAATAAAATTATTTTTTTAAAATACTTAAATTTATTAATTAATAATTAGCAACAGGTTTTTGTGCTGGCAGAAATTACATCACATTCTAAATTAGTAAATCAATTTAATAATATCCATCTATTAATGTAGAGGTCCATTGCACTCAATGGAATCAACAACACACACAAACCTCACATATGAATACACGCTAAACGACGAATCACACACTAAGCTTGTGGTAGGCAAGGATCTTTTGGTCATATTCGAACTCTCAACAGGCGATCTTAACTCTTGGCCATAACACCTACGTTACTCGAATAGATGTTATTTGTTGGAATTGAATAATTCTTATTCAAATTTATCAGATCGGACTTATCAAAGACGAGATGATTAAACTGTTGGTCGCTGTGATCTTCCTCACTAGCGTTGAAACCATTATTTTTTGGCAGAAATTAGGGTTTGTGTAATGAAGATTTTTGTTTATGTTTTTTAATTTTTATACCAAATCAATAAAATGTTTTTGGAGACCATATCAGCAGTTGAAATAATCATTGGAATAACATGAATTAAATAGACTTTAAAAAGTTTTTGAACGAAACCAAAAAGTTAAAATATGTACTTGTAGTTAAAAAGGGTTTAAAACTTACATACTGAAATAAACTTATAAATATTAAAGAAACCATCATACCGACATATCACATATCACATGCAGGTTAAGTCTTATTTAAATGTAAATTACAAACTGCTGGCCAAAAAATACAGAAAAATTTAAGAAAAACTGAAATTTACCTTGATTTTCATTTTTCAACTTTTACCGTTATAACATTTTGTTGTCTAGGTTGAAGAACGTAAAAAAATATTAACTATTTTTAAGTCAATATGTTTAAATTTTAAATGTCATTTTTATTAAAATCACCAGCATTATTTTTGGGGATCAGTGAATTAAAGCATTTAGCCGTAACATGTAGTAAACATATCCTTAAATCAAATTTGTCATTGCATTTAGTTTGTTCATGCAATATTCATTTGTTCAGGTTCTAGCTTCGGTAAACCTCCACTCCATGAATTGAATATCAACAATCTTTTTTCATTGGCCGTCAAGCTATGTTAAGTTTAGCTAAAATATAGTAATAAATTAAAACTTACTAAAAAAAAGTTTGCCAGTGTGCATAGAGGGCAATGTCTTCAACAGAAAAACGAGCGATAAACAAAGAAAAGGTCGCCATGGCCATCAAAGCATCATCAAAACCTTTTACTTCCAACGTCTTGTTGAATCCGGAACACACAAACACTTTCCTTTTTGAAATTCTAAAAAGACAAAATATCAACTTAGTTCCATTTATAACACAAATTAACTCATTTGTTTTGAATGTCTTGATAAATGCTGGCGTACGTAAAATGTGCTGTTTTAGCTACGTTATTTATTACTTATTTCCACGGGTGGATCTAGACACACAAATACTGGAAACCTATCCACCGTGTCACTATCAAAAACTTTTTTAATGGCAGCAATAAGCTTGTTTCCATGTTTCAATTTTGAAAGAACAACTGGAGATCAAACGTCAATATTTCTGCTTCTTATGCTATGACATTCCCACCCGTCAACTTGTCATTAACAAAATAGCTTTTGCTAACGAACTTAAATCGACATTATATCTAAATTATCTATTTAAACTGCTACAAGTAGTACTGAGTTATACAAATTTTTTATATAAACTGCAACAAGTTCGGAAGATGATTGACAAATCGAAATAGGTCTTATACACTCGAGAATAAATTGGAAAACTGTATCTTATTCTAACTATAACAAAATAAATAATGACGACAAGAATTTGGTTAGAAATATTGAGATATGTAATAAAAAACTATCCAATGCTAAAAATTTGGTAGATTTAATAAATTATTGCATTAATTGTGGTCTTTTATATATAATATATATTTAGAATGTTTTAAATAATTGATTAATATTTAGCATCAACATTGCAACAGACGATGTATGAAAAACCTGGCAACTTTTTAAGATTTATTTCGGATATTTAAGATGCAAATTGAAAAAAACATATATAAAGAGTAAAAGTAAATAAATAAAAAGCTGTCATAGTTTTTAAACAAATTTATTAAAACGCAAAAAGTTACCCAAGCAACAAAAGCAAAATTAAGGGGCCCAACACAATCCACACATAAAAGCAATGAACCATATCAATTTTTTATCTGTATAAAATTAATTTTTAACAAACTGATTGAAAGAATTTGAATTAATTTCATATCCTCCATGATAGAGATTATTCTGAAAATATTGATTTAATTTAAATATCATTTCAAGAGATGGGCATTTCAAGCTCTGTCACAGTTCAGTATGCTTTGGAATTCATAAAACTTCAGCATCGCTCATAATTGCAAATGGAAACGATGAAAACGTGCATTTTTTATGGAGAATGAATGAACAGGGTTATCTTGTTTCAACTTTTGGCAACAATGATCTTGGTATAGACATTATAATTTCTGAAAAGGATTCCCCAATCAATCAAACTAGAGGTGAGCTGAAAAACAGTTATGAATTTTGCCACGGAACATATTCCGGAGTATATTTACCAATCCCTGTTTTATATTTCAGGCCATATGGTGAATCACTACCTAGTTCATCAAATCGGATCTAAAGTCTATCAGCAAACGAAACAGTTGATGTAGTGGAAATTAAATTTTTCTCACCTAAAAAAATAATCTAACCGTTGCGACTCTCATCAATGAAGGAACCAACCTAACAATTTATAACTCTAATTTCCAGCCTTCCGTAGCAGTGGCAGTGGATACTGAACGTCTCATGAAAAACCTGAATTATACATCGCTGATTGATGATTATTGGAAGTGGAGAAATTTTACAGAATATTTCAAGTAGTAGTACCAAAAGTAGAAAATTAATGAGCACGGCTACTTGGTGTCGAGTTTAAACGGATTGGGAATAGATTTAGATTGGGAAAACCAATATAAATGTGGAGTGAGAAGTAGTCCTCTTGACAAAACTACACGTAAAATATCTAAACATTAAGTTTTTTACTTGAATACCATACGTATATATTCAATGAAACAAAAACAGTAGCATGTTTTAACAATTTTAAAGACAATATTGAATATTTCGACAAAACTGTTATTGTTGAGCTGGTCTCAGTTCAATTTAAATCGCAAAAGATAACAATGGAGTGGAGAGTGAATGCGACGATTGTGAACACTCGAATGAACTTGATTGTTTATCATCTACTTCAAAAGAAATGTAATGAAAATTCGTCAAAAAATGGCGAACACAACGATCTAAAGAATTTTCAAACGGCTGCGGTTTTCAATTGGGATGGAGTACCAATTCATGTTGACGATTGTCCGATGAACAGTAAATGCAACAGCAATGTGTACAGATTCAGACGTTATTATGTCAAGTACAATTTTTAATATATTTCAATGTATCAGTTTATTACTTGTGATATAAACAATAATAAGTAAATATGAAAAATACTAATTTAACTGAATTTGGTAACTACTAATAATTAATGTTGTCAGTATTATCAAGTATTATCACTAGTAGCGGTATTTATTGACAACCACATGTAGCCAAATGCTTCAAAAAATTATTGAAGAGTGTTTTCAGAAGACTTTAAAATTTATCAATCACTAAATTATTCAACTAGTCACGTATTTTTTAGTACTATTTGTCTAAGTACCTCTTAGGATCAGGTTGAAAACTGTGAGTGATTTAGATGAAGTAGGAAAAGGTAGACAACAATTCG